GACTCAACTGGCTAGGACAGACAGCGAAGCAGGGCCAATCAGGGCACTAGGTCGTTCACTACGTGTTTACGTGTCACTGTCACAGAAGCGATCGATAAACACGCTGCTTATCAAAACCTGCAGTCACACTCGTTACAACAGTTTTGCTTTGAGTAGCGAAAAATTCCAAAGGCTTATTTGTTCATATGGTATCACAGACTGTGTAAATGAAACCAAACACAAACCGATTACGCTTAGTGGTCAAATGATAGGTCTGATGCTAACTGAGAGAAGAACGGACTTCCAAATATGTGTTGTCCACAAAAGTTGATCAGTTTATTCAAATTTCGAGCACTACTTAGTAACGGATATTTCTAGAATAAACAAGGCACTGAGTAAAGATCTCCATAGCCACCACAAGAGGAGACGAACATGGATTACATCCCTACGTATGAACCCAATACAATATGTCAGAACTCTAACGGACAATCTGAGGGAGAACTTCAGTCTCAAACAAAATGAACCAACCATACTGAACACTGCACCTGCAATTTCCAAAAAAGCTAGGATCACATCAGCTCAACATATTTGGCTAGGTATACTAACATACCATTGTAAAGAAAAAATCAGAGAGAAACATAAACTAATAAAAAAGTGACTCAACGAGCCAAAAGAGCTAAATCAAAGCAACTACATCAGAAGGGAAACAATATAAAGAATACTACATTCAGATAGGACTGGTTAACATTGACCAACTCTTCACACAAAATGAACAACATCAAGCGAATAAACGGCTGAACCTTATATTAAAGATAATGAACAACCAAAGTTTGTACAAAACAAAACCAATTGCACAAATAAGTAACCAAACACTGAAAGACCACTATCAAGACCTATTCAGCCAAAAATCCATAGTACAAATGATCATTACACACTTAGAACCAAACCACAAAAAAAACAGCTCAATTAGCCTAAATGAGCTAGAGCAAACTGTGAAATGACTAAAAAATAATAATGCTCCTGGAGACAATAACATCACAACCGAAGTGATAATATATGGAGAACGCAAACTGAAAACATTCCGTTAGGAATGGCAAACGAATTATGGGGTAAAACAGATAAAATGCCACGCCACTAGATTGATGTGGACGTTATCAGAACCTACAAACATAAAGGTACGAAAATAGACCCACACAATCACTGAAGCATATGCACCTGATGATGCAATTAACCTAAACGTCACTAAAGCTTGTCACGCAATAATCAAAATTTGACCACTATTGAGATCAAATAGTATCGGTCTACCAACCAGAAAGAAGCTAACAGAATCTACCATAATTTCTACCTTAATCTACAGTCCGGAGACAATATTATTAATATAAAAAGACGTGATGACACTAGAAGTTGTCCTCAATTCAACAAGACCAGTGATTCTTAGAATAAACAACCGAAAGGATCTCACAATGGAGGAACTTAAAGATAAAACTAGTAACTCAAACATTCTCATCAAAGTCAAGCAAAACCGACTGAACACCCGGTAAACTTCTCACAAAAGATCAAACAACTTGACGATCAATATTGTCGAAAAGATCACAGAAGATAAAATCACTTCATGAAAAGCCCACAAAAAATGTTAGCTAAGACAGCTAAGGCTGGACTTGGAGGTATTCAAAGACCAATCACCACTGAATTGTGCAGAACACCCGACTAAGATTAAACTAAATAATGGAGGAGAGTACAAGCAGAAAATAAGTGACCAACGAACGCAAATATACGTATGCACAAACATAAAGTTCAGTCGAATATTCGTAGCAAAAAAAGAGATGAACAGACACTTAAGAAATAATCATCTTAGAACTCAGGTTTCCTCAGAAACAAAAAGACACAAGTTCTTGATAGCAGACTACTCAAAGTCATACATAACAATGGAATGGCTACATAGACATATTAGATCCTGCCACCTACAACATAACCAACCAATAAAAACGAAAATAGAAACCCTGAAGTTCTCTGAACTAACAACCTCAGTGCTAATAGCTACAACAGACATGAAGTCAACACAGCTGGAAGGACAAAGAACCAACAATCTACATAAATCCTATTCACAGGTTGTACAAAAACTTAACCGATAAAGAAGGTATGACAAACCGTTGTTATGTGATACAAAAATGGTTGGCAACAACTGGACAAAAGTAAGACCAAGAAAAACTAAAACAGCTGTTGCACAACGATAGTTGTGCTGTGTTTCATGGCGTATTTTATCTTAGTTAAACAAAAGAAAAAAGAGAATAATCTAGAGAAACGCGTTGATGTTCATTTACATGAGCAAACCATACATAAGTACAGAAATAAAGAGTACCCGGATTTTCAGATATTTCGTATTATAAGTTGGCACCACCTTAAAAAGTACTAAGACCAAGGTGTATAAAGCAACTATTCCATAGGAATTATAGTGATTTCAGAAATATACATCCTCATTTCTCAGTTTATTCACGAAATAATTGTTATCTGAATACAATATCATCATTAACTGTTTATGGTCAGTATTTATTTGGTTGACTTGACTGTGTAATTAGTAGCTACGTGACAATGAATTCAGAAACGAAAACTTTGAAGAACTAGCTTTATAGAGAAAAAACTTATTCTCCTTGATTGTTACTAATTATCAGATACTTATAATCTTGCTAATACGTACAATCAAAATAGTTTTTTTTCATAATTAACTTAAAAGGAAAACGTGTATAAGGACAATTGTGAAATTTGGTATAACCAGATCGGCCATAATGAATGAATCGTATTATAGAACAAAGTTTTTAAAGACAATTTAATAATCTACATTGTTTCACTACATGTTTGGCATTGTATAAAGTTTAAAACAATTTCTAAAGCTATTGTTCTTATTTACTTCTGCTATTATTATTATTATTATTATTATTATTATTATTATTATTATTATTATCTTAAATATGGTTATAATTTGCAAACAAAACATCTTCATTATGTACTATTAAGAAAACAAATAAATGCAACTGTCCATAACTATTTAGTTAACATTCAGCCCCTTCGCTCTCATTTTTCGTGGCCCAATTCTGTTTTTATCTTTTTAAATACCTATTGTACGCTTTGTTATCCATCAACCTAACGAGAACTAAAAGCCAGTGCTGGGCTAGAAATAACTAATGAATATATATAACATAAAACTTAACGATGTTTACCGTAGTTTTCGCATATATTATTCTACTGTTGCTATGGGAATTAGGGAGAACATATAGAATAAAAACGGCGTATATATATATTCCCATGGTTTAAGATGAGGCTCATTCAATACCTAAAGATTTATTTGGATATGAATATTTCGAGGGGAATTAACACAGTATTATGGTTATATTGTATAATTGTAAGTTTTAAATATGTATTATTTAGTTGCATTATGGCAGACATTTATAATATAAGAAAAAGATCTAATGTCTTAGGAAGGAATGCAAAAAGGATTTCATTTGGGCAATAAAAATATAGACTATCAATAGTAAATTACAAAATCGTATTAATCATTATGATCTAGAGCGTTATTAAAATGTCTAATCATGGATGTCATCCATTGAAACATTCCTCTACTATTATTTGTCATTTGTAAAAAAAAACACTTAAAATTTACTATCTATGCTCTTATAATATATTACTTTGCACTTTCCCGCAGTTTGAAATAGCCAATAGGAAATCCATTTCGCTTTTTGTACAGTAAATCTTATTAGGTCAAAATCACATTTGATAAGAGCAGTTGATTTGAAACTTACTAATACGACGAATACATCATTAATAAAAATGCAACTAACTTAAACTACTGAAACACTAAAATTATGCGCACCATTATGTAGAATGGTACAATATATTCTAACGTTCAGGATAATTTAAGTCATAGAGTACAATCACATAAAAGATAATTGAAAAAGTTTTGCGAAGTAAACGTTTTGTTCCAGTTCAAAACTACTCTGTTCTGTATATCCTCGGGCTGACATCACATTAAATGTGACTGTCAGGTTTCAGAGCAAGTACACCATCTGCCAAGCAATTATTATCTATTAAAGTGTTTATGTTCCTCTTGATAAATCCGGTTGGTGATAGAAACTATCATTAATCCACCTATTTACACGGAAGCCACTTCTTCAAATTCAACAAAATGTTTGTATTTAATATGCTCTTTTACAATCTAAACTAGTGCCTACCTTACAGGGAAGAAATACAGTGTAGATTAGTCGTTTGCCGTTTACTGGTTGACAAATATTTTATTTAATGTATCATAACTACAAAGCTGAAAGTTTTTGAAACATAGTTGATTGTCACAAATTATTCTGCTTGAAAAATAACCAAATATTTTTTTAATTTTCCCTTCTTAAATTTCGATCATAGACAATTTTGAGTAGAAATTGGATATTTGAGACAGGTAAGAAATTATCTAAGATAAATACCTGAAAACTGTTGATAATTAGAATGTGCTATACCAGATCCTGTTTATTATTTGGAACGTCAGGAAACTCGATATTTTGATTTTTCTCCGGGATTTTACGATTCTGAAACAGTAAGTTTAGATAATAGACTAGTAGGTTTTTTTCCAGCTGCCTAATGTCTGATGAGAATTGTTAGTCTTTATTCATTACTCTTTAAATTGGTCAATATTATTCTGAACTTCATTAAGTATGAGATACTTTATCTGATGAGGTTATGGTTACAAATCTAACTTGCTTGTAGATGATTGTAGCTTTTCAGGTTGATTAAATACTAAGTGTCAATTAATTTCAGGAGGTTTATATTTTACTTAAACCCAAAAAGCCAAAACACTAATCCTTTTATTTTACAAATAAATGTACATTATTTTAGTGGTGGCTGTACAACAATATATATATATATATATATATATGAATAAATTCTACTCTACTGACCATAGGTAAAGCTTAGTTAGAACTTTATTTTGAATCATCAGGGTGATCTGCTGATCCGACCAATTTCGTTTCAGGACAATACAAATGAAAGTAATTATTCGCAAAAGTTTATGGCGTATTTTAAGATTGAAATTCAAACAGTTAGTAGGGTTTGGAAAGTCAAGGGAAAAGGTTGGGTTTTCTCCTTTTCAGATTTTAAAGGAGTAAAATGTCATGCATTCCTATGAAACTGTTTTTCACTCATTCCTTTATTATGAGTAAAATTGCATTTACAGGGTAAAGTTTTAATATAAAACGAACATAAAGTATCGGTTATTGAAAGACTATTGAAATAAATCAGAGTGAGCTTGCTTGGCATTTAGTCTTAGGTATGGTATTAACTGCAATTCAGTTTTACATAACGACTGTGGCCAGGTTTTGTCACTATAATTGCATAGAAGGATGAGTTTCTAGTTGTTTTTGCTAGATAAAGTCTCCTATAGACAAGTGATTTAATATGGAATATTGCTATATCAATAAAAGATTACAGGGTCATGAACTCAGATGATATTATGGAATCTTATTCCTCTAGCACACCTATTAAGAAGAAATCATAAGAAAATTTTTGCCATAAAACACAATTCCCGTAAGCTTAATCATAACATTGGCTGTAAATTGAAGCGCTGATTACCATTAAATTTGAAGAGTTATGCTCATTCACAGCTCAATTTAAACCATTTCTCAACAAAATTATGTACAAAATTATCTTCCAAAAAGATAACACATTTCAAGCATAATTTAGAATTCAAGTCAGATTCTACAAGGGAAAAACAAACTCGACTTCAATGTCACTGTAGATATCCAGTCTATCAGAAGTGATTTTGTGGAGATTGTAATTTCAATAGTTAACCACCAGACCACTGAGCCGGCATCCAACGGTGTTGACGTCTAACTTCAACTAATCCACAAAATTGAGCGACATATCCATCACTCTCTTCAGTGACTTACTATCTTACAACAGACCCGGTTGAACTCCACTGGTCACTGCTTCTCACTAAAACTCCAATGCTTCCAGGTTTTCCATGGTGATCTAGCTTCAACTGATTCATGATCTCAACTATTGAAATTTATACACTCTAACTAGTTTTTATGTATGTCAACCAAATGTTCATTTTCCAGAAAAGTTTTCAGTTAGTTTAGAAATAATAAACATTATAGGTTTCATCCAAAATAAGATAGGATACTGACAATTACTAGCGTAGAAATTTAATCTTGTAAAGAGATTCATAACAGAGTTATGTGAGAAGACTAATAGAAAGTTAAGATTATACTCAATATTTACTTGTAAATGACCAAAGTAATCTAGAATACTCTCCCTATAACAGTTAAAACTGTTATGATATTTGTATTTTTTCCTTTTATTACTCTAATATGAAATATGATGTTATGATTTATATTACAGAAAAATACATAACACATTTAATTACATCATACATTTTAACTTCTTTCTCGTTTTATCTTTTTATACAATATGTACACAACTAGATTGTTACAGATCCTTCAGATTGTATAACACTTTGTAAAAAGAACAGTTTTACGTGGTCAGCTATATCAAATGACTCGTTTTGTTTCTGTGGAAATAATTTACCACCGGATACAGAATTATACAATTCAAGTTGCTTGTATTCAGAAACGGTAACTGTCTATAGGACAGAATCAAATGTTTATATAGGTCCATTTGTGGTAAGTGTAACCAATGGAAACAAGTTTAACCTTGACCTTTATAAAATTAGGTGTTGTGTAGCAACATTGAATTTATAAGTCTGAGTAAATGTCAAACTTGAAGTAACCATCATGGGTTTCATAGTAAAAAAACGTGAGAATAATATTACATATGACATTTGTTTGACCAAAAAATCAATGAAAACATACTAGGAATCTGTTAACCTACTAATATATATGTCCATTTTTTTTACTGAGACTGTTGGAGCGCAATAGTCTATCGGAAAATCATGATGATAATTTATTTTGGTCTTGTAAGGTCACCATAGTCTACCTTATGAAAGATCTCAGTTTAAAAAGTTCTATTTAAGTAATGCAGAAATATGAATAAGTATTAGCATATAACCTAAATGATGCGAGAGTTCTTTAAGCTGACATCGTTGGTGGATATTTTCGGATGAAACGGTAATGAAAAATTGTGCAGTTTTAATAAGATAGATGACTAAAAATACATAGGAATACACAAATGTGGTGATCATATGAGAGAAAAATACATTTGTTCAATTACTAAAGTAAGTGTCTACTCTTTACTGAGCTGAAGGGTTCGGGAAATTCATACTGGGCTTGTAACTAAAAAACAATGGATTCAGTGAGACATCTCATAGGCCCTTGATAGTAGATGATGAAGATTCAGATCGAAAAATATCTGATTTACAAAAATAATTTATGAACTGAGTAAACCCAGATTCCGTTTAAAAATAAGGGCCTGGAATTTTGATCATTAGTTCATTAGGTGGATAAATGATGAGTCAACACAAAATGACTCGGAAAGTATGGGAACAGAATATTGTTTATTCTGCTTTAAAGTTAAACACCGAGCAAATGAGGCTGTAGTGAACAAGAACACCAGTGAGGACGATCGAATGTTTTCGACGACAAAATTAAAGAGCATCTCAATAAAATCTGAGAACCATATAGTAAATGCTTAATTTGCAAAAATATCCATCACTTGTCTTAAAATGACTCAGACATCATTGTTCTTTCATTTCCATACAAGTAGCATTATGTTTCCATTCTTCACTGTCCGATCCTCTTGTCTCTCTGCTGCCAGACGTTCTTTTGCTGACTAACGTCATATACTACTTATGTCGATATAAATAGCACATGATAAGGCTACTTTGCAACCCTTTTATTGCAAACGTTTGTAGGGCTGGATTAATTACGTACATACGCACGTGCGCACTATTTAGCGATTGATAGTATAGTACCAAGGATAAGCGCAGATCAAACTTAGTCGAGTGATGTAATTGCCATTCTCGACATATGTTCTGGCTTTCTGTGGACTAAGTTGGGGCACTTCAGTCCATGCAGTGCATTATATTGTTATGCAATATACATTATGACTAGCCTAAAATGTTGGCAATACTAGACTAACTCTTATCCTGTTGGTGGTATACAAGAAAAACTGTTTTATGATATGAATAGTCAAGTGTTAAGCGAGTCAACTTTACTGAGATTTAGCTCGCAGTATATAACTGTTTTCTAGTATGAATGATCGTTTAATCTATTCGATTATGATTAGACATTTTCACATGGACAGTGAATAATAGTATGACAAAAGTAGTTAAAAATACAGACTGTCATTTTCATATTATAACTCACTAATCGCATACAAACGTTCCTATAAAATTCATCTTTATTTCTTTGTGTATTGACAGATGCCTTGCGTATAAACAGGCCTTATGAAGGAACTATTTTGAAATTTATTAAATCTACATATTCAGTAACATAGTTTTCAAGATAAAAGCTCTTTTAACTGTTGAACAAACCTGTAAGAACTAAAAACGATATGAATAACTTGCTTGTGAAGTAATTTACAAAAATGAATGGATTTGTGTTACGTTCAAGGTGACTTAAAAATATATGACGTAAGGTTGCTAGTTAACATTTTGTAGAACATAGAATAGATCTCGAGTTAAACACTGTAAAACATTAAAAGGTGAAAAAGCAGAGCTGAGTAAAGTAAACGGACAAACACTGTATGTCGTTATTATTTTAGTCAGTTAACATATATTTCTTTTTTAAATAACGATTTAAATACCTTCCCATAGATTACAACAACAGATTTGACAGTTAAACAAGTTGGAGACACGATCTCAATAAATTTTGTAATACCAACAGAATTTAAAGTTTTACCTGGTGTAAAAGTTTATGAATTCGATTATGGCGATTCACTACAAACTACAGAAAACATCTCAGATATTACTATACCACTAGTAATAAGCTACAATGCACCAGGTCCTGTTTGGCCAACGCTGAGGGCAAGAAATCAAGATGGTACAATTGTAAGTGTATCTAATTATATTGTAAATGTTCGCAGATGTAATTTGATAATGCAGGTACAAAATATAATGATGTTAACCCACAAAACGTATCAAAAGATTTTCAAAATTATGTGATCAATAATTTTCAAATTTAGAATCTCCTTAAGGATAAGTAAATACAACCAAACCTTTAATTCTTCTCAGTTAATAGTTCGGTTGAAAATGAAACTTCTGATTAACTGTATCAGCTGTACCAGCTTTTATATCGAATTCAATCCTTCGTCTTTTCTATATTGAAGTCCACCACATTTTCTACTATTGAAACATTATAAAGAACAAAGCATAAACTGAAGATATTTATATGAAATGAAGAGTAGTTATCACGTTATAGTTATGTTATTTATGTTCTTAGTCAAATATCGAACAAAATAAAAGAGCCGAATTACACAATTCAATATAATTCTTTAATGTTGGAAAATTAAGGCTATTGGATTTTGAACAAACGGTTCAACAGAAAGATTCTTGTCAAATTATAACCCTATAGTTTTAGATTCCAAATACGCTCGAGAGTGAGCTATGAACTAAAACTATGATCCTTTCACGATTTTTAGTGGTTTTCCTAACAATATTTATTTATATAAGTAGTCTTATATCAATCACAGTCATCAAATAACTAAGAGTTATCACTGTCATATAATGTGTTCTATGTTCAACTAGGTTTTATGGTAGTCCATTTCTAGTCTGCTTCCAATAATTCTCTAATTTCAACAGTTGAGATCATGAGTCAATTAAAGCTAGACCACCATGGAAAACCTGGGAACACTGGACAGCCGTTTCGTCCCATTGTGGGACTCCTCAGCAGTACGCATCCACGATCCCGCCTCGCGGAATTCGAACCTAGGACCTATCAGTCTCGCGCCAGGCGTTTAAACAATTAGATCACTGAGCCGGCATCCAACGGTGTTGATGTCTAATTTCAGCCAATCCACGAAATTGAGCGACACATCCACCATTGTCATCAGTGAGTTACTACCGTCACAACAGACCCGGTTGAACTCCACTGGTCATTGCTTCTCACTAGAACTCCAGGATATATCTCTTGAAGCCAGTCACTAGTGAGCATATGTTGATTAGTATCAGACGAAACGGCCGTCCAGTATTTCCAGGTTTTCCATGGTGGTCTAGTTTCAATTGACTCATGATCTCAACTGTTGAAGTGACTACAATCTCCACAAAACCCCTTCTATTTCTCTAGTTGTTGTTTTAAACCATATTCTCATTTGAATTTCTCTTTAGTGAAAGATGATTTAAATTAAACTACTACAATTTATGCCTTGTTACTTATCTCATGATAATTGTATTAAGATATCTATTCTCTTGGAGATTATTTTAATATTAATGAATTCTTTTTCGAGTTTTTTCCCCAGCAAAAGGGTTTTCCTAATTTTGTCTCATTTGTATTTCGGTTCTAAGTGACAAAATCTATATGTAGATGAATTTCCTATTTTTTTGTTACCAATACTTCAGGATGCCCTATAGAGAAAGATCTAGTTTCGACACAAAGTTAATACTTATATTTGTCTCTGAATATATAATATATCTCATGAAAGTCTGATTATGCTCATAATTGCTTAATTAGAAAAATTGAATTTACTACAAATCTTTCATATTTTAGACTGGCTCAGCAAGTTTAGCATTAATGATTTATGAACTGATAACTCCGGCTGATATTACGTTTAACTGCCCACTACTTGTCATGAGTGGATCTGTATTCACCTGTCAACTGAATTGCAATAAAGGAAGTCATATACAAGGGACTGTGTCGTTTGCGAACGATTGGCAGGATACAATCTCATTACCAGGTATGATGCTTCACTAGAAAAGTTTACTTGAAAATTTAATTTATATATGATAAAGTAAAGGAACTTGGATGCTATATTGGAGCATAAAGATTTGTCATTTATTTTTTAAAACAACTTAATGTTACAATTCAACATGATCTGTATAATTCACTGATCATTCATTAACTGACGCAATTATAGTAACTAAAATGCGGTAAACAACACTTTGGGTATATCTACTGTGAAACACGTTCTAAAATCCTTATTGAAAAACACTCAGGTATCATGATAAATGATAGTCATTTACAGACATATCACATTCTTAAAACAATCAAAATGGAAAAACGTTGATAAATTAATTTTTGATGATTTTTCTAATCCTTATGAAGTGACACAAATTTCACGATCCAGATAGTTGATTGTGAGTTAAGTGAGAAAAGATACAAATCAGGTGCATTTTATTACATAAATATCTTAAATTGCTATCAGCAACTAAGAATGTTGTTTATTAGATAAGTTATTTAAACAATTGAAGATTATTTGAGAGGTTTAAAAGTTGGTAGTTTCCAGTAAAGCAATAATAATGATCGCATTTAAATAATCTGAATTCATTTGTTTTGTGAAGAGGATCGGCGAGACTATAAATTACGGACGAACCTATCAGGTATAAGATAATAGGTCTCGGATTTAGGCGTGGAATTCTCTCATCCATTTGATTATACCGAGTTTTGACATTATAGCTGATGTCCTAATCTTAACCACAAACTGTGAATCATGATTCTAATTCCTCACACTGATTTATAACCCTCATTTGGTCCTAGTTATTAGCTTGACACTTTCAAGGTCACTTTATCGTCTTTCAAATGTCTCACCAGGAAATGAATGGAATTTCTAGTTATTTTTATGAAAACCGATGAGTTTTTAAAATTATTCTATTTCAAAAACAGTGTTGATTATGATAGTAAGTAGTCTGAAGAATTTATCTGGCTAGAAGCTGCTAGGTATCATGTCTGCTTTGAATTGAAGCTCAAAACTTACAATCATAAATTATTCATATTTATGCTTATGTGTTTTAATTTAAACAAATTATTCACATGATTCATTATGAAGTTTACCACTTAACAACATGAGGTTTAACAGTTTCTACAAATTTAAGAGCTCTCTAATTTATTTATATTGGGCCTGACCTAGCATTCGACAATCATGTATTTTATCACAAACAGAGACTTTTTAACTTATTTTGATAATATACAGAAATACAATGAGTAAATTGTTTATGAATTACAATCAGCAAAACTCATCCTGTTTGATTAGCTGATTTATTATAATTTACTATACAGCTTATTAAGTCTTCTATTTCACTTGTGGATGAACTAGACTAACGATTTAAGTGTTTATGTTTGTGAAGAATGATGATGTCACATTGCTTTGTAGAAAGCATAGTTAGGAAACATTTACCAATGTAAGTTTGTATTCGTGTCTCTGTGTAAATATCATTTGGTTGTTCAGTGATCAAGCAGAAATCATACTCACTTGTAAGTGTATTATTGTAGAACTCTTCAATGTTGACAGAAATCTATTGGTTAGGTTATTCTAACCTAATCAAATGATCGGCAACTATTCTTTAGTGTTTGTATGATGGCAGTGATAATAAACGATATGCAAACCGTAATTTGGTCATTCGACCCACTTCTCTACGCTAGTCATCATTACATATCTAAAACTTTGAGCCAATAACTTTCTCAACTATTCAACCACATGCTATAAACTACATGAATGAATACAGTTTTCTCTTAAAACCCCAGTTTGCTAGATAACTCCAACTTCTCAGAAATTCATCTGACTGCGCTTGTTTTAAAATTATTTTGACAACGATATATCTCTATACCTACTGTATTGTTGAAGTCAAAATTTATAGGTTTAATAAAATAGTACTTCTTGAGTTAATGTTTTCAAAATAACCATTCTGGTCACATTTAGAACGAAAACAACGAGTATTTAAAAATTAGTAAATCTATATTGCTTGTCCTCTTCCTGGTCAAATGGGTCATCTGGTTGAAACAACTTCGTTAAGATTACATAATCTACAATGAACGCTATACATTTTACCTGACTATTTTAGTAAACAGTAAGTCATCATTAGACAACAGAAATCCAGGAAACAGACCATTACTTTAAAGTATTTGAATTATTACAAAAATGGCCTTCTGAGTTGAGAGTACAAACAAGTATATATCTCTTCAGCGTATAAAAATTGAGTGAGACAGAACTCTTATGTCATACACATTACATTCTACATATGTGACATTTTTCACACCTTTATGATTTTCTGATCACCCAAATACAATATTAACGGAGTTTCATTTAGGAATTATACAGTCAACAAAGTTGTAACTTGTCAGCAAGTGTATTTGTTTGTCATTTTTCGCCCCTGTCTGTAATTTATATTAAGCAGAGTGAAGTGACATTAACACTGGATTACAGTCTTATCCAAGTCAGTTGACTAGACTAATTTGTTTTTTATATCACGTTCTTGTAAATGAGTTAGTCCTCCCAGTAATGTTAGCTCTAATCAGATGAAATAAGATCATTTTTCTCGTCATGAAAAACTATAGATTAATATCGATGGTGTTCAACTGCTCATTTTGTTCGGTAGTACATGAGGAATTAATTTTGTGAAATAAAATGTCTTATGACCTGATTCAGAGGAAGCACATTGTAGTAGATATGAGATTCACAAAGATATACAGTCTGATCCAAGTATTCAGAATACAGCGTCCAGTAACTCAATAACTATAATGATTTGCACGGGAACGCTTTGATTGATTTACTTCTGATGTAGAAAATAATCAGAGTAGCAGGATCGGACATTAAAGTTGGGAAAAGCTTAAAAATGGATCTTCTACCTGGTTTTCAAATCCTTTTTTTCCAACGGCCTTAAAATACTGAGAAATAGCTGTTGAAAACTATGTAGTGAGCGCGAACACCAGTGAGGACAACGAAACGTATTCCGAAACAAAATTACAGAATATCTTAGTAAAATCTGATAACCATACAATAAATAATTCATTTGCAAAATGTCAATCAATCGTCACAGACTTGATTGTTTATTTGTTTCCACAACGATCATTCACTGTTCTCGTTCTCTTTTCTTTGATCTTCTTAACCTTCTGCTGCCAAGTATTTCACTTTCGACTGATGATGCATACTACTTATATCTGTCGACATCAATAGCACATACCACAACTATACATTGTCGTTTCCAGTGGATATAACATTTTTAATAAATGCCACTTACAAAACCACGAATAGTTTTTATCTCAGTATTACTAGTTCAGTATTCGATCAAACAACTCGATTTTTGATTGTTGATTGCTAGAAATAAAAATACCACATATTAACAATAATAGATATTCAATTCAGAGAAGAATATTGTTAAAGACATCGTATATTACATCAAAATGATATTTTTCAAGCCATGCTGAGTAATGAAGCAAGTTATTACTTTAATTAAAGATGTTTTTGATTGAATGAACGTTACTGTGGCAATGGCAACGACTGGTTATTAGATGGTAGACAATATTAATATATATTCACTACTGTAATGCAAACACTAAACTAAGTGACCATACGTCATAGTGAATTGTTTGATACGTGAGGTGTTGACAAGGAGATATTTTAGTGTCTTATATTAAATTGGATAAATTGTTTCGTTTCATTATAACTTATGTTTGTTGTATTTTTCAAATCAATAAACTTTCAAGTATAACTCATGTACCTAACATTTGTTTTTTTCCCAGTCGTTAAGATTATGAATAATTTTAATTCACAATTAGAGGTGATGCAATTTAACAGAGATTTCTTGAAATTTACTAATATATGAGGCTGATAGATGCTGTTACACATACGTATAATGAAGATATAGAACCTACTGTTGATTGACTAAAGTGATGTCACACTATTAACCACGATAACAAACCAGCTTAAGCACAAGTATTTGTTTATTTCATAACTTATTTATACAACTGAATTTCCTGATTCGTTCCAGAATGTTATAATATGTAGTTACAGAGCTTTGGTACGGTGTAATCTAATTCTGTTAATCTTTATTTATTGTAAATTTGAGTTTATTAACTTGATATACCACTGTTGTTTCTTTTTTTCGGCGCAGTTACTTTGTTTTTTATTCTTCAGAACCAAATTATGATTGGATAGGACTGCCTCCAAAACGTATGAAAGATACAATGATAAATTATAACACAAACAAGTTAATCATCACTGGTTCACAAGCTCGCTATGATGGAACAATCAGTACAATTCAAATACATGCACTTCTATTAACTGATGTCACCTTTTATGTAAGTTGTATTTATTTCAGTTCAGCCACAAACAAATATCTTCTTGGTAAGATTCACTAATGGTTGATCACCTGTCACATGAGGAGTCTACTGAGATGAAAACAAGTTTAATTTCCTTTTTTAAGATTCGATTAATAGATGCACTGAGATATCTTCATTATTCAATAAATACGATATTAGTAGAATAATAGTCATTAGTACGACAAAGATTGACCAGTACCAATGACCGCGTATTTATACTATTTGATTGATTGATCATTTGGTACAAATTTAAACTATTTGTTAATCTAGGGTCTTCAGATAATGAGTAAAACGTTGTCATGCAAAATAAACATCAAATATAACATAAACAAATATCATTCAAAGTCATTCTTCCGTTGGATGTTTCCTTCAGCCTTGACCTATTTTATAAATGATGAACTACATAGAAGTGTAGATTTAGTTACTGAATGACTTTGTAGACGAGAACTTTATGTACCTGATATGCCAAACTACATTGTTTCACACCCCAAAACGTTATCTGCACACACTGAACTATTCAACCTGAGCATATCTTTTGAAACCAATACTTGTTTGTTACATTATCAGTGATCTACGGACAGTTGAAAATGGAAAATAATCCACGAGGTTAATTAATTGAAATAAACTAGTGATTCAGATTTTCTACATTTACCTGGCTAACTGAAGAAAAATATCGCTTGAATGATGGCAATAAGCACACTTTTCGAGACGTAGGTAAAGATCATAAATTAAGTTTAACAAGGACTTGATTCGCAGCCGAATTCGTGATGGCTGATTTCGGTAAAAAGTCTATCACAGTAATAAGCGAAATAAAAGATTCAGCTGTTAATTTAATTCCAGTTTTACTCTAATAGAGCAGACCTAAGCAAAGCCATCATAGTAGACAGAAATGTATGGTTATTCATTTTCCCCAGTACTAGCTACCTATTTATAGTCACAAAAACCAATTTCGATAAACCGAAACTAGGTAGGGTATGGAAATCGTTGAATGACAGATTAATTGAGGTGCATCTTGTCAAATATCAGAAGATTGGTTGGCTACATTCATCATTCAACACCCATTTACAGTCTTAACATTTACATTTCAATATATTAAACAATAATTAATCTGGATTGAGTTAACAGAGTTGGGAAATTATCTATATTGTTCCTGCCACTTTAAATAATTAATACAGTTAGGATAATTATGGTCAGACATTCCTTGTTTGTCTATTATTTCAGCTTTTACGCGTTCAATGCACTGGTGGTATGTACAATTTTGAAACCAATAGCTGTTCATCGACCAACAATCGTAGCGTAACGTGTACAGCAGATCAAGTGTTTTCTGGTTTGGTCCGGGATTGCGTTAATATATCATCATCCTACTGCGGTAATCTACGGCAACTGAAATTAGATAAACCTATAATTGTTGAAAATTATGATTATCAAGTGATAGGAGTAAGTCATTCCATAAACAGTAGTACTTGCTATCATTCTGAAGATTTTAGTTAGTTAATTTTCTCTGCAGATTTTAATAAGACATAATCTATGTGAAATGTGTGGTGTACTAACGAAATAAATTTTGGATTATTATGAAACCTCGAAAACAAAAAAAACGTCAGGTGATATTTACCAAAGTGAGGATTTGACGACAAAACGCTTTTTATTACACAAAAGAGACCGAAATTTCCAAGTCGTTAAAAATTCGGTTGATGAAAATATGTGTCTAAAATGGATTTGAAGAACATATTCGTTATATATTTAGTGGTGGAAGAGATTTAGCCTTGGTATCCAATGAATTTATCTTTCATTGAAATCACTGACTTTGCATTGACTTTCATCATTGATTTAAATAGATCTCATATCGTCTCAGTAATTATGCACAAAACACATATATGTAATTAGATGCAATGTAACTTGATATAATCGTATCTTAAATGTACAGAATAAGTGGTAGGTAGGTTACATGTCTGACAGTGAAGCTTTAGCTATAAGGTGTTTTAGGATAATCGCTACTCCGGGTCATTTTTCAAAGGTCAAACCATGGAAACCACTCGTATGTAGCCGTGATAAATATATTTTCCTGTGTTCTGGTCAATATATAACACAAGGTAATACATCTTAATCATTATTTAGTTATTATTCTACTATTGTGGTTTGTTGTACATCTTATAAGCTTAAAATGGTAGAGAAATATTTAATCGGTTACGATTATTACTGGATTGTTTGAAGAACGCAAAATCAATCAGTAAGTATTTCTACAAACTCATAAGTAGCTAATAATAACCTTAGGGTGCTGTATCTTCCTGGATCATATAAAAGACATTAGGTCCAGTTATTGACTGTAAAATAGTAATTCCTTGATTTTTTCCACTGCATTTAAATTTCAGATTCCTATTTAGAGCGAAAACAAAATGTGATATTTCATGGTTTGCTTTGGAAAATTAATATGAGGTTATTTTTTTAAAGATACAAGCCAGTCTTGTCACTCCAGCAGATACACGATTATTAAATTATATCAGTTCTATTTCTTTGCTGATAAGGGATCAAAATCAGATTATGTTACACCCTAAGATTTTTGCTTCGTAAATGTTTAAGTACAGGCGGCTTAAGTGAAAATGACTATACTTATAAATATTTTCATTAAATCAGAACTTAGTCATTCAAAGCTGAGGAGTTCATACTTATTAGAATGGTGAAATATATCCACGGCTTAAATAATGTTGATTTAGTTAATGTTTCTAACTGACTTAAGCATTTCCCTCCTTTTACTCATTCTGTTTACTGATCAATATCAGAGTAAACAGTTTTCACTGTAAAGTTTGATGCCAATAACGACTAACATCTTAAGATTTTGCCTTTCATGGGTAACTGAGTAAGAATTATATAACTACGTTTCCCCCGATTGCATTATTCCTACCTCGAAATATGAATCTTTTAAACATTTACTCCGGTTTAATTTTCAATAGTCAACACAAAACTACCAATGTAGCTTTACAGATATTATAACGAAGATAACTTCCAGTAATATGTTTTATCCTTATCCTGAAAAAAGATCAAGCAACTCCTACTTACTCGTTCTTACACAATAATTCCAAACTTATTTCAAATTTCTAAAATATCATTCTCCAAGTCATTTTTAGTGACTTTCTTAGCATGCGTTTACAAAGTACCTTAATTTAAATAACTCCACTGAAATGGCCCTTATGGTGGTAATTTCATCTTCCAAAGCTATAAAGGTCATATGTGGTGACCGTAATATGCAGTCTTATAAAACCCGTAGCGATTGTTAGGCTCAAATGTAGTTATACAGACACTTCAAACTGTTTGTCTATGGCATAGTTCAATGAGAAATATCTCATAACAAACCTCCGTGAAATGGTTCACAGTTAACCGATACAATCAAACCGATGGATTCAATGTCAAGAGATGAAATGTCAAATGTCGTCGAGTAAATAAAATGTCGCACATGACTTAAATACAATATCTTAAAAAGTGATCCTCATCTTCATCTCTGTTTACATAAACAAAAATTAACTTTCAAACGTAACGAAATGTTTTCACTCGTATTAATGGATCTGGGCAGTAATGAACATGATTTAGACATAGAAACTACTGAGATACTAAAGTGGGGACGCACATTAAGAAGACTTTTGAGAAAGTAGCTCTCAGTTCATTCAGCACATTGAGATAAATCCAATTCATCAACCTATGAGGAAATGTTAGCCAACTATTAGGTCAGCAAGAAACATTGTATTTGCAGATAGTAGTAGTACAATTTACAGTATCAACCAATCATATCCCATTTCAACAGGACAAGTCAGTCACTGATTAAAAAAATTTAAATCGATCATTTTCAGGGTTCTACCAGTGACTTTGTCTAGCAATACAATGAAAGCTTCAGTAGTTAACGTTTAAATTTTAATTGCTCTAAAATCCCATACCCTATCTGTTATTGAACGCATTAAGAAGTCATAGTCTTTAAAAACAACCTGAGCTGTAATATTTAAAGTTGAAAACATATTGAATATTTTTTTGACTAATTGATCTCGTTTATCTGATATTTTCTATGAAATTTTATTTTTTAGATTTATACTGTCAAATTAACAGTTTTAGGTTGGCAGAGTATTAAGTTGCCTTCAGTATGGACTATTCAGTCAGGTGATCGAATAGGATTCACTAGTATCTTAGCAGGAAGTATTGGATGTGCTCCTTCCTCATCATATGAAGCTGATGATTTAGAAACCTTGACAACGTTTTCTGGAACTAATGGAAGTTCTGTATTAGGGAGTAGTCTAAAGCGTTTGACTTCTATACGACATCAGGTAAGTTTAACAACAGATGCTACCTTCCCAGAAGAAAGAAAGGTTATCTATATCTCTGTTATTAATTTTAACCCAGCTTTACTTTCTTTAGTATAATGAGCTCAAAATTGATTTAATGATGAACAATGCTTGAATATAATAATTATGATAGATTCATATTGCTGTAACACTCGAGAAAGTATAACTTTATTTCAATAATAATGAACCATGCTCATTCATTAAAACTGGACATTTACTTCCAGCTAATTAAACGGAACTATAAGAATCTATTCGCACATTTATATTGAAGGATAGGTGGTTGAATACAGTCATTTGGAGATAATATTCAAATTTAGTTTTATTATATAGATGTTCTACACATTAAAAGTATAGTTAAAACACTATGGATGCTGCTATTTTAAGAAACATTTGATGAAACACGTAGGGTTGTATGATTGCTGAAATAGCTCTGTGTTTAAAACTATCTATCTCTCGAAAATCACTAAAATAATGATATTTTCAATTGTAGATTGGGGCTTGGATCAGGCCAACTCATGATGCATTATTGACTGGATATATAAATACGACAGGGTATCAAGACGTCTCACTTCAGCTGTACAGTTACTGGGGCAAGAACTATACATCACCGGCTCTCATTAAAACCACTATTATGATAGATGAAATTATAAATGAAACTCAGCTAATATTAAACTCATGTGCTGCGGGAATACAATGTTCATTAGAACTTAAAAGTCATACAGGTAATTAATTGCTGAACAAATATTCTCATATTGATTCATCTGATTTTTCTCAGTGAACTTTGTAGTTTATCCGAGAATGAAAATCTTTGGCTAAACTTAGTACATATATTGCAACTTTGCAAAATGAACGTATTAGAGTTAATGCTTTGTACTAAAAAACCAATATTATAAATGACATTGAGCTGGATGAGAAACGGTAACATATATAATAAGGTTTCTCCATATTGATTGAATTGAGTCATAAAAATGACAAACATCTTACTCAAGCTCAGTGTGCATATATCCAAACTACTTAAATTTTCTTATTTCAGTCACCGAAACCTTAACTAGTAGTACTTTGGGGGGAGTTCAACACCTTTTAGATTACTCAGTATATGTAAATGTTTCCAACAAATGAGCTGATAGTCACCGTCTAACTTTATGATTTATACGGTCTCGAACAGAATGCAGTAAAAGTAATCAAACTAGTTTGTAAGAATTTTATGACAATTTTTTTTTGTAAATAAGTCATAATATTCCTTGCATCTTCAATAAGCTTAAATTCCCTTCAGAACGAGTAACTGAAAAAAAGTTCAAAAACTTGAATTTACCTGGATGATTTGACTGTTGAGTGAACTGATCCCATGATGAAGATCGAAATTAAAGGGAAACTTTTATTTATATTTTACATCAGGCACAAAAACATTTTTATAGCTGAATATATATACCTAATGTGCTTTATTTTAATAGGCATTAATGTCACTTATGTATGGGATTTTGGTGATGGCACAGTACAGAAAACAACATCAGTTAAAATGGTGCAAAAAACCTACAGTACTGTTGGTAATTATAATTTGATCGTCAATATAAGCAACAGTATCCAGTACAAAATAATTGTACAAAATGTGAGTGTGATAGACAAATTTGAGTTTAATGGAATACAAGGAAATCAGTTTACTGAATTGAATGGACTAACCACTCTAAAATTAAATCTATCTGGAAACAGATTTATATGTTCCTGGTATCTGAACGGTGTTTTGTCTAAAAATGATAGTATGACACAATTTGATTACATGCATATTCAAAGTGGTGTGGTAGTCTGGAATGTGACTTGTCGAACTCCTGTGGAAACTATTAGTAGAAAACTGGAACAATTTGTAATAGAGCGTTTCACAGGTCAGTAAAATTTCATAATACTTTCCATGGTGAAATGTTTTGACATAATACTGAGATGTGATCTTAGGCAAGTGATTAGATCTATAATCTCTTTCTGGATGATAAAACAATGATCAATCTAATGACACAAGAAAATTTGTTTTTCACTGGGATCTTAAGTGAACTGAAGTGAATAAAAGCAAGCAACAAAAACTCCTTATTCTATACTGTAAATATAAAGTTCATTGTTTATTGTGCATTCACTGATATGAAAGCCTAATCTTCTATTAATACAAATAGCAGTTCTACCAATTATTGAAATAGTAACACCTAGATATTTTATTTCAGATTACTTTACTGAGTGTTTGAGCAAAGTCACATAATCAGTGGTACATGAAGATTGAAAGATAAGGTTTGTCAAAACTGTGTGATGAGCTAGTGGATTACATTTTTTAAAATTTCTACATAAACATAAAATTATTAGGATGAAGGTCGAATTAAATCTAATGAAACATAAAAACAAAAATTAGTACGAAAATACCATTATTATTCACACTAGTGTAGCGGTAAATAAATCCCCCAAATCAATATCTCTGTAAGTCTTCGACATTGGATACTGAACACATTAGTTTTAATGGACTCACCTAGCTGAAGGCGCTCAGTCATGCATCCACACCAGATCACGAGTGGGAACGCCGTGCTCAACATCCCCTGCAATCGCTAGTCAGGTTAGGTCAGTCGATCCTCGATCTATAGATAGCCTATCAAATATATAATGGAACCTCCTGGCTTCTGTCTTTTGATTTCACTTGGTGGGTACGATTCATAGTAGAAGGTGTTATTGGTTAAAGCGTTGTCAAACTCCAAATACCCTTGACATCTTCACTAGTATTTGTATCAAAATGAAAATTAACATTGGAAAGGTAGCTTTGATATAAATGAAAAATGTTCTTTGGGTCTTTAGGAAAAGTATAAATAGAGTTTAGTTCCGACAAAGTAGATCTTAAGTTAGTGATCAATATTCCAGAACCCCATTCAAGATATAAGTATGTACTAGTTAAGAGTCATCAATTAAACCTTTAGACTTTCAAAGATTATTTAAACTAAAGTGAAACATCCTGTGAAGCGTTTTCACAAGCTATGTTATTCTTCATTTCTCCTTTCCAATAGGACTTTCACTTGTAACCAAGAGTTTACAAGTGGCAAAACCAGCTCAGATTGTTTTTACTTTCATAACTGGGAATAATTTAACATCTCAGTTGACTTTCTTTAATCAAATTTTAAATACACGCATTGATTATGTACAGAAAACTATCACATCTGAACTGGTGAGTGAGTCACAGATAGCGTCTGTAAACTACAGCTTATGGACAACCAATCCAATTAGTTCAAATTTAACTACTGGTCAGATACTGTTTGATGTACCAGTACTTGGGATGAACATACAAGTTGAGCCAAAGTAAGTTTTAATGCGGAAATTTTTTATTTATGAAGAACTATGTTCTGGAAACATTCATACTGTAAATGAAGTATATTCTCCAAAAGATTAACTTTGTAGTTTTTTTATTTTGAATTTATAAAAATTAGTTATAGATTCGGCACAAACGTCAATCAAGCAAACACAACCTGATAGCTCGGAAAAAAACACTTGTGATAAACAGCATTTATACTCTTGATATATAGCAGTAAAAGATATGTGACGATATATGCTTACAAAATTTTTCGAAAGAAGATACAACCTTCTTTAAATGTGTAAATATAGTTGCTTCAACTAAGAACTTGTAACAAATATGCTACGTATCTTTATTTGATCATTATGAATCACAATTTTAGTATTTTCTTCGATAGTACAGCTAAAAATAACATATGTATGGTAGTACCTAATCATCTGAAGCAAGGTTTACCATTTATGTGACAGAAAGTGATTTTTCAAGTTATTACTCAAATTAGTTTGAACCTTAATCTACATACACGAGAGTGAGATTGTCCTGAAGCAGCCAAAGCAAAGATGGAGTTGAAGTTCGCTATTTTGAAACAAAATTTAGATTATCACTATTTATTTCAATGTTCGTTCACTACTAATTCATTTATAAATCGACTTATATATTTTTCTGTTCATTGTAACTGATGAAAGTTAAGTGTATTACTAAATGCAAACTAACGGTGAATCAGAAGAAATTACTTTGGAAATTGCAATAAACTGGTAACCAACATCATTTTCTAGAATGATTATGCAGTTACATAATCATACATAAGTCTTGTAACTATCAGTAAGTGTTAAACATTAGCTAGAGATTATAAAAATATTTTTACAGATTTGTGAGTCGAGTCCAAATCAAAATAAATATTGTTTTTAAGGTTTCTAATTCCAACTACTTGAAGTAATCTCACTTAAAATTTGAGTAGGTTTTTAAAAACAAAGTTTTGCTTAGCGTTTAACAGTTAGACACAAGGGAAAAAAGACTTTGCTTGAAACTTCAATTATGATTGTGCTTAACTGATCGCTGTATTCAATTTCTTCATCTCTTAAACAGTTACGCTGGCCCTTCTCAAAACATGATTTTTCGTGTTTCGTTTCAAGAAGGCACATCAATCATTTTGACTGTTAATTATGGGGACGGTGAAGTAATCCAGCAATCCGCTATGCAGTTGCAAACATGGCCAAAGGATTATCAGTTGACCAAAAAGTATTTAAACGCCGGTGAGTACACTGTGACGTTTTCAGCATCCTCAGGGGGTAATACAGAGAACAGGACAGTCACGGTTTATGTAGTTGATAAGATTGGGGTTTACGCGGCTCAAGCCATCACTGAATCTGTAGCTGTTTACGATCCCGCAACTTTGAAGATAACAAGGCAATCTGGAAATCCTGCAGTGTTAACTAAAATAAGCTTAGACTGGGGCGATAACAGTCAGTTCACCCTAGACGATTTCCGCGAAGGTACTGTTTACAGTCATATTTACAAAAGTGAGGGGGATTTCGGAGTTACCGCTTTACTTACAAATCCAGTTGACCAAAAGGTTTTTGTTACCACACTTAAAGTTAGAGCAAGAATTGAAGATTTTGGTTGTCAAGTTGCACCAAATCCAGTTGAGACAGGAAAACTGTTAGTGATTTCAGTGGTTTATAAAAGTGCACAAGATGTCATCATCAGTGCTTTGTTAAATAACCGAACAGATTCCAAACAAATCAATGTACCAGGTTAGTTTTATACTGTTGAGTTTTCTGAAGAGTTATACTTGTACTAAGCTGATAACATAGGCCGCTCTTTTTGAAAAAAACCCACCTTAGAGCACTGAATTGCTTGCAGCAATTGTATTAAATGAATCAGATCTATTGCTATCACTAGGGAATTTTACAAATTTTGAAGTTGTTGCGAACATTTCTCATAAATGTATGATGCATCTGTCCCAAAATGTATGATCAACTATGTTTGTTGCAAACCATTGTGACAAAATCCATGTTCGTTTTTGTATAATCTTAAAAAAATGTATACATCATCCTGTACTTAAATCAGTAATCTTTAATTTATTTAGTGTGATGTTGTATTTTGAAGCTTTCTGATTAATAGTTTACTCAAATAAACGTTACGAATCAAGGTAAATAATTATCTATCTTTTTCAGAGTAAGAGATAAGTTTTCCGTTGTTAAGTTGGTCACTCAAGCGAAGTAAAACTTATGCGAAATTCCAAAGTAAAAAGAACCTCGTTTTTGTTCAGTTTAGTCCAAGAAAAGTGGATGATATAATATAACTGTAAAGAAAATCATAACTGCATGTCTATGATGCATCACATCATAAACATGCAACACCATAAAGGACTACTTCGTGGACACGTGAGGTTCTGAAAATTGCTTCACACAAGTTAGATCAGTCGATCCTTATGTATTTGTTTGTGACTGCTTTTCTTCTCACATTTGCAAACATATGATTAGAGAAGGTAGTTGGAGTGCGACAAATCATAGTGATGAGTTTGGTAACAAGACCGACAGAGAAGCAGAAACGCATCTTCTCCACATTGTGAACACGCGTTACTGTTGATATTCAAAGGATTGCAACTGAGATACATAAGGTTTTTTTAATTAGCCTCTTTTGTCTGCAAACACTGACGACTCAATGAAAATTATCTTACTCTCCAAAACGTTGTACAACTTAGTTTTTTTCGCAATGAGATGAATAACCTAGCAAAAATTATAATACATGGAAGTGAAAAGATATTCTGGTAAATGGAAACAGATTTTTGTCGAAAAGCTGGCTTGTTTGACGTCCATGTTTGAATGAAGGGGGAAAAATGACTAATAGTTATTAAAAATTAGGTAATTAGTTCATTTGTATTAATACTAACCGGTATTTTAACTTAAAAATACATTTTAGCACCTAAATTAACAGAGATAAATTACAACTATCCTGTTGCCGGTTTGTATTATGAGGAAATACAAGCAAAGAATTTAGTCAGCAACCAGTCATGTTTACTTATAGTTGATGTTCGGAATAAAATAGTAAATATGAATATCGAATATGGCGGTCATGCAGTATACCCACCTGGTGAGTATCTGATTTACCCCTTATTATTATTATTTAATGTATGGATGAAGATTAAATTTGAAAATTCAATTAGAAATATTTTTTTAATTCAAACTATTGAAAGTAGAATTTTGATGGATGAATTAATTGATGTTTTTCACAAGTAAAACTTATTCATGGTATTATTATTAGCTAAGTCATAATTCCTGTAAAGGTATTACATTTTAGATATGCCTATTTCCATATTATGAATGCTGTACTAGAATTAGATAAACACCGTGTTTTTTGTTTAACTTTCTTGAGAACATGAATAGAGTTATACAAAAGTGTGAATGTTGAGTTGAAAATGTTCAATAGTTTTAAACTCAACAATCATTTGATAATTTTGATTTGCCTGATCTCTAGTTTTAAAAAGAATTTGTTCAATTGTTCAATATTATACATTTAAATACATCATCCTAATATGGATTATAGACTGAATTTCATTAATCAGCTCTGTTTGATGCTAAACTGATCAGCTTAGTCATTGATGAAGTTAAATTGAAGAACAGAATCCTTGTATTATTTAAACATTGTTGAAATAATTTCATAATGAATGAGTAAAACTAATCTTTATCAAGGTTTACTGAAAAACATAAAGTTGTCTGTATGAAAATACCTATTATACTCATTCATTTTACAACTTTAGTGGTTAAAATAGTTCCTGCCCGATCATTTGTTTTTCTTATTTAGGACTAAATAGTATTGTTTAAACCTATCGTTTTGACAAATGATTTTAGTTAGATCACCACTATTGTGTTTTGCTGTCAGTGCTAACTGTGAGCTATTTATTTGCTTATTCAAATCAAATTCATAATTCATGACTAATCGACAGATATTGTATACCAGCTACCGACGACATAGCTGGCATTTACACATTATTTACATTTAGACGTTTATATACTTCCAAACATACAATATTGAAAACGATATTATAATTTATGATAGATTTTTGTAGCACAGTGAAGTATTTCAGTATCTAAGGAAACAGTTGGAAAGATCGCAGATGCTAAAAAATAATGATAGTTCATAAATCAGCTGTATGTCATTTACCAAAAATGTTTACGAAATTCTAACTTTACAACCAAATATAATGCTTCATATTTCAGGATCTATCACATTTACTTTAACATACACTGGAATAGCTGCCAATTTTCCAACACTAGCTAAATATAAAGTGGTATGGGGAGATGGAAGTGCACTCTCAGAAGGAATGTTAACATTGGCAAATCAACCACAAAAAATCAGTCACGTTTTAGCTGATTTAAATTACTTTCAAGCTTCTGTCACCTTGGACAATGTTATAAGTACCATGACGAAAAATACTCAGGTAAGTCCACATTATTTTATGATTGTTGCCTCATATCATAAGATTTTCTTCAAATCGTATGTTTGATAAAAGTGAGCACAACCTAATCCATAGTTGTGAGTTCAAATTACTGATAAGAAAATGACCAAGGCAAATATATTTTTAAAATCAAGGAACTTAAACTTGAAATTATCTTTAACGCGGAATTGACTAATGCGTAAAGCTCCCTTCAATCAAACTGGTAGTGAAATAGAATTTTAGGAATCATAATCGAACAAATATAGGTAATATAAGGTTTGAGAAATGATAAGATAATTAATACCTTATATCGTATGTTACGTGAGAGATCATTCACTGTATGAAATAATATGAGTTGGTCAAGACAAAACAATTAAATCAGATAAATATGAGTTGTGAAAATATATAGCATATGTTGGTCCATTTAATATCACAGAGATAACTCTTAGCTTATTGGATCTAAAAGCAACAAAGGTAGAGAAAGTGACAGAACCTTTTTTTAATGTTTCCGATTTGTATGGCAATAAGTTTTACCGATCAAGGAGTAGTTAAAGCAGTTTTTGCTAGTTTCGATCGACCACTATAAACATGGTAGATTATGAAAAACATCAGGTTAAAGTTTTCGTTTTGAACAATCTTAATTATTTATTTTAAGGTATACTTAGCTTTGATACTTACTATCGTCTATTAAATGGTGTAAATATAAGTCAGATTATCAAATTTCGGGTTATCAGATTTAGTAAATCGTAAGTTATACTCTGATATACAAATTACTGGTTAATTATCCTTTCAAGATATTTTTAGAAGTAAAATATTGTTATTTTGAATACTCCCCAAATAGTTAAATCAGGCAGGACTAGTTATATAATTACTTAATATAAAGTTGTTCTTGATCTCAATAAATCCATTGGTTTCAGCAAGATATAGCTTACTAGAAAACATTAAATAAATCAAATTTATTAAAATTCTTTATGATCGTTTCTGTAACTAGGTTGCCGCTTTTGGTTTATTCCAACAAATTGATTTGATAATAACAGTTGCATCTACTGGTGATCCTGGTTATGGAGCAGATGGAAACTTTTATCCACTAGGAGTTCAATTAAAATTCCAAGTGCTTGCAAATGGAAAGCCAAATAATGTGGCTAATATCACTTATTCAATTATAAATAAAACTAATAATCTCATACTGGACTCAGGAACTGTTTGGAATAATTACTTTTTCTACACATTTACTAAGGTAGGTTTCAATGGATAAAGTACATAGCAAGTACATATGAATTTTTCGATGAGTATTTACTAGAATACACGTTAGTTTGAAATTCGGCCATTTTGTTGATTATTAAAAATAAACTTTGCATGTTTTATGAAGGCCATAGTTTCCTGTAGAATTAAGGTTTTTTAAAGATTGAAATAAAGTCGGCAAATGGTTGGCTATCGAAATCCACTAATAGATGAAGTAACTACGTTTTGTGTGTAGTTATGAATAGTCCTTTCTCCTATGCACCAAATTGTCGCCATCTGACAATATCTATAGGAATGACAGCCTGCTTGAATTTCTGGGCTACCTGTTTCTGTTATCTAGATATTTCACCAAGTTACCTGGGTTTTTAAACACATCATTATGTCTATTGATCGTATAACCTGTTCAGGTGCGTTTATGAATAGTCTACGATCTTTCGCTATACAAAAAATCCCAATCAGAGACATCGTGATTGTTAGCATTATGCGTTGGAAAAAATGTTCACTATTCAGATGTCGATTTCTGAACTACTAACATCTAATTGGCGATCACTCAATATTAAACGTCAGGATCGATCAAGAAATGAGAAATACTTTGTGCTGAGAATTCTATATTGTACCAAAAATATAATACTGAGTAAAGCTAATAATAACAATAACAATCTGTTATTAAAAAGTCACTTAACTACTTAGAGTAGTCATGTAAAAAGATTGGTGTTGTCACTAATTTTAGAGAAATCATGTTCATAGATTAAAGAGACCGCATTATTATTTCAGTACGGTGAAGTCCTGTAAGTAAAGAAGTTTCTTGTGTGATCACATTCAGATAACTGTTGATTACATTATGACACTTTGGTATCTTAAATTTTTTAAAACTATCTAGTCTGTCTTGTATCGGTGTGTTAATTTACGAATACAGCTTTTATCAAGAGGAATTACAATGAAATACCGAAAATTAATTAGTCGGTATTATCAATAGAATGAATAATCAATTAAGTGAAAAATCTTCCTAATTATTTAATCTGATTGTAATCCTGAAATATGGGTTTCGATTCTTCAGATTTACTCAAACTAATACCAGATTATTTCAAAGGTTAAAAAATACCTTTCCAGTGAACACCAGGCAGAACATGATCTGAACATATGAATTATTAGCATTAATAAGATTAAAAACTAACTGACCAGGGTCAACATCCATAAGGACTAAAGCATTGGTGCATTTGAATACGTTGCAAAACAGTTGCATTGCTGGAATTTTACTCTGATAGTATATTCAAATGATTTAATGGAACTATCGGTTCACATTAAACGACTATATACTGGAACAAACATAGATATAGGGTAATTGTAGCATGATGATTACTGAGTTTTAATGAGCAAAGCTAAATATTTACTTGTAAGTAATTTTGATGCATGATGATGGATTTCGTTGACCTCGGAATTCCTAGAATTGAACATACCAGGCTTTATTGCTTTATTGCAATCACTTATAACAAGAAAGTTAATCAACAGTTAGACAAGTCTATACACTTGTGTGATGTTGACGCAGTTCCTAATCGATTACATTTCCGTTCAATACACTATACCTCATGGTTATGAAGATTATTAAAATTCATTCATTTTTGGCGCTTTTGGTTTGTCGCCCTCTAAACCTGTATATAAGTATGTGAATCAGCTATTGGATACTGGTCACTACTATTCGGACTCTGGGAATTCTTTTCGCAGTTAATCACCAGCACTACAAAACGTGAAAATTCTTGACATGGTCTCTTGAGTACTGACGTTTTGATTTCCAGTATGCTATCAAAAATACCTTATACTGTTCTGTTGTAGTGCTCCGTAACAAAATAAATAATTGATTAAAGCTTATTCAGTTTTCGGTGACTTCCGAATTGAAATATATTTTTTCAACCAAGTTACTGTCTGAAGGTTTTAGCTCATTTTAATGTTAGTTCAAATAGAGGATCAAACAACATTAATTAGTCATAAGTGACGAAACTAATTTGCTTGGAACCAGGCGATTCAAAATTCATGCACATTGTAAATCGTATCTTATCAAGAATATTATCCACTGACAATAGAAGTCCGTTTAAACCATTTAATTAGTACGTTTTTGAAATCAGATTAGTATGAAGTTAGTTTCACTACAAAAATTATCAGTAACCATGCTGCATTTGCTTTGCTTTGTTTTGCACTATATGAAGTGTTTTCGACAAAATATTCTGTAGAAACTCAATAGTTGATATTTCCTATTTGCCTATTTGCTGATTAATGATGTAAGTTAGTATTTCTCTAGCATTATCGTTGATCATTTATTAAAACTTCTAATCTGATTTTTCTCACAAGTTACCATTGAGAGGTCTAAAAGACTTTCCTTTTCTATGATAGGTTATAGTTCATTACGATTTATGTTTAGTTGCAGTTTAAACGATTGAAATTATTTGAAAGAATATTTGTAAAACGAATTGACTTCAACAATCATAATAGAACGATTTTTTCTTTCACTTATTAACATTTTTAATTGTTTTTAAAATTTAGTTTGGAGAATATAATATTGTAGTACTGGCTTCAAATCCAGTGAGCGCGAAATCAACTTCAAAAGAAATTTCAATTAGGACTTCCATACGTGGATTAAAAGCTTATCTTGTCGGTAATGGTATGTTGGAACCAAATCAACAAGGTATAATACGTATTTCATTTGAAGCCTATCCAAACGATGCGTGTTTGTGCGTAGAAAAATCAGATGGAGTTGGTCCAGTTTATTATCCGAAATTAACAGATCCAACATCTTTCTGTTCATTATGTCCCAGTTACTTACGTTTGCAAGATGCACCAGTCAATCTGACATTCTCATTAAGTGTTCAATATGGTTCAAGCGGACCTCAGTATGTGTCTATCCAGGCTATTAGTGCGTCGGAAATAGTCGATACTAAATTATATATCCCTGTTACATTTTCAACGTGTCCTCCACCTAAAATATCTATGTCGAATGCATCATCACAATTAACAACTTATCCAATTAAAGCAATTACCTCCGAAATTATAAATATTGAAGCAATACTTACCGTACCAGATTGTTTGTTATCAGTACCAAATGAGAAATTATGGACTTTATACTCCATTGATTTAGATACTACACAAACATTAGGACCAATCTCATTATCTCAAGAACTTAGTTCCAAAACACTAAGACTTGGTTTACCTGCTAATTTTCTTTCACCCGGGCCATACAAAGCTACGTGTTCAGCGTATTTTACTCCACCTCAAGGAGTACCATATATTGTCTCAGAAAGCGCATATATAATAGTTGTCCCACCACCATTATTAGTTCAGTTCGATGTGGGTAATCCGATCAGCAAGACAATCGATTTATCTATTAATGAGATATGCTTAAAACCTGAGGTTTATTCGCTTGATCCTGCCATGAATAATGTAAACGTTCCACAGGTATGTCATATATTTTATTGTAAAATTCAGTTATTTTGACTAAACAGTTATACAATATTTAGTTAGATTTCACAGATGATTCAGTCTCAAAAAAGAAACTATAAAGTACTAACTTATTAGACAAAATAATTGATTTATATCCATGATCTCTATGATAAAATGTATGCTTGAGTTAAGAAATCAAATACTTTGTATATAAGTTAGATTCAATTTGCAGTATAAAAAATTGTTACCGTTGAACTGAACAAACGCGTTTTTATTTCTAAACCATAATGAAATTCATCAATTATGAGTGAAAATGTGATTGACTTCAGGTGTTCTGGGACACTGATCCAGATAACATAAAAGGTTGCAATGGGTCTAACTGATTCGAAATTTTGTTTATTTTCATTTTAGTAACCCTATAATTATAAACAGTCATGTCCAGATGAGAGACAAGTATGAATAATGAAAAGCTTAGGGATGTGAGTTTACATCATAACTCTTCAACTAAACAGCGAATTATGCTGGAATTCAAATTTTCATTGGCCACCATGGAAATAAAATGTTCTTATTGTTTTGACTGATTTGTAGTTGCTTGTTAAGAGTCTCGAACAAAAAATTCTCATTCAGATGAATGGTCACTCTTTACTTCAGGTGAAAACAATCTACTGTTAATTGGTTTTCTAGTAATTTCGTTGGTCTATGGTATGTGTTTATCTTAGATAGTTTCGACAACTTGGGTGTTTCTTAAATACCTTCGAGATTGGAGTTTGATTATCCCATTAGAAAAAGACATGACTGAAAACAAGTGAAGTTAGGTCAGTCTACTACTTGCAAATGACTATATATACAATCAGTCAATCAAACTGATAAGAAGCATATTTCATTGTAGTGAAATTATTCATTCTGAGCTAAACACCGAATGATGAGCAGAGAAAAAAACTCTTATTTAAATATTTGAAATGCTGTTAATAGATATAGGGAACTCATGTTTGAAAGCGGGAATTGTTATGATGAGCGGTGTCCGAGATCTGATACTGACGTGCTACACGCTAACACCTCAACCGACTATTTAAGCTAGAACAAAAGAGTGGATGAGAAAGTGTATTGGGCTGCACAAATACTTATATATATATCCATTTCTTAGCCAATGATATGCACTTGTCTTTCAGGCCACTTCTGATTACCGTCCATTTACATTCTGATTGGCTCACCATATGAGTAATTTAGATTAAAGCCACACTGTAAGTACATGTCGCTATTTGTTCCTTTAATTACCCTTCCTTTCCCTAATAATTTAGTCTCGTTCTCTAATGAATTTTAGTCTAACATATTCATCCAAACGCTATAGAATTCTAACGATGTTTGAAATCATATGATTTTGTTCTCTTTTTATCCATATTCTATGTATTCAGATGTAGGTATTATTACTTTCATGGTGAATGGTCAAATCATTAGATCTCTTGAATTTCACATCATCAATCTATGATGAAATAGTTATAAGATACAGCCCTTATATTACTTTTTCTAGGGTATCGGATCTTGGATATGGTATTGCAGGCAAGTCGATGAAGAATTGTCAGGAAAGTTGATTTCGCCCAAACCTCCGGGTTATCAATACAATGCATACTATACTGGTTGCTTTGGTGACGGTCCAGGAGTAATTGATACAAATAATGGTACTCTGTGCTTTACAACGGAAAACTTTAGAATAAATAAAACATATGAAGTTACAGTCATCGGCAGTAAACCACCCAAACGGATTGGAAAAGCTACAATGCAACTGTTGACTACAAATGAAGTAGCACCAATCTTTACAATAAGGCATGTTTTTGATCACTGGAATAAAATTAACTTTTTTCACTAGCATACAATGAAGTTCTGTTAATGTCGCTAAAAAAATTAATAAAACAAAGTTTTCAGAAAAGTGACTTCAGCTAAAGATGCTAGGGAAAAACCAGAACATGATATAAAGTTTTTCAGTTTGCTTCTGTGATTGAATATTTACCTAATCTATAATAAACGGTGATCTTTGAAATTAACTTTAAAAATGGGATTACAGAGTTAAAAGCGATAATTATCGACTGTCAAGTTAAATTATCATCAATTTGAAGTTGAAAAAACGTAGGTGAAGAGTTCGTGATGGATATTTAAACGTGAAACAAGACTGGTAGTTCTGTTTAGTTATGCAACATAACCAACATCTGAGTCATGAATTTTGGCTTACTTGTATAGGTATGAGGTGCTAGTGCAGCAAACCAAAGTTAATAGTTTCGACCAATTGGTATTAGTTACTGAAACATGTCTAACTTAGCTGAAATGAAATCCCACTAATCTTTATCGGACTCTTTCGGCTTCTCGTAACACTAAACTCATTTGTTATAAAAATTTGATATTACCATTTTCTGGAGGCTTTCTTTTCAAGGTGACTATAATTTTAAATCTAATATGGTGTATACAGTTATGGACAAGTTCTAGTTTGTAATAGTTTTCCGGTACTGATTAAACTGAAAGTAAGAAAACACATTGGAGGATAGAAAATGTTTGATGTGCAATCCCTTATGCTTTTTATCTTGTTTGGAAGTCTTGGGTGCATTTAGTCTATCATTTCAAGCGATCATTCGGCCCTACTTCCTAATAAGTTTAATAAAAAAACAATAGACACATGTCCGACAACCTTGTCTTCAAGTGGTTTCAAAGTGATTTGGATTAATGATTAGAGTAAATATGTATATCTAACTATTAAATTGCAGACACCCATTGAAACGTATTTGTGGGTTCTATCAAAGTTAAACAGTGCATACTTGTATTTCATGAAAGGTTTCATCATTCTAGATAATTAAAATATTGTACATTTGAAATTTGTGTTTATTCTTAAGTGAATAAAATGGTGATTTAAAGAAAATTTCTCTTTCATCATATTTATTTTTGATCATCCGAAAATTGGATTCTTTTGAAATGATATGACAGTCTGACGACAGACATCTTATTTGGACAATTTAGATCAACTATAAAACGAAAGGAGAATTTGAATACAATGCTCACTGATAGCTAAATCATTAGAGGAGAATGTTCTAACTACTGAAACACACCTTAAAATGCACTTGTTTTCTATGTTTTGTGAAAAACTACAGTCAATTAACAACCTTTCTCATTTACATTTCTTACTTAAACACAATTATAGATGCAGCATACCTTATCTGTGCTACAATCTAGAATTTGACTCATCAAATTTAACCAGTTGGTTCATTCCTGAATCAGATGATCTTTATGTAACAGTTTTAATAGAGTTTGGAACCCTAAGCCCTGATATGAAATTTAAATGGAATATCAGAGAAATGCATTCAGACGGCACACTTTTACCATTCGATCAAGTTCAACAAGATACTTACACAGAAGGTAAGTAGGAAAATTAAATTTCTCTCAGTTACTAGATAATTATTTTTGACCTTACCAGATTAAAAATAATCATTCAGTAATTTTTAGAAACATCGATTGCCTCAGAATAATTCGAATAAAGACTAAAACAAAAGAGCATTATATCCCTATGATAAATTTGGATAATGCAATGAGAAGGTGAAGATTATCAGAACTATATAGTTCCTTCTTTTAAGTTGTAATGTGCTTTTCAAATAAAATAGGTATCTCATGTTTTAATATATAAATAACTAGGTATATTTAACTAAAATTGCCCTGAAGTGCTCAAGAGTCTACGATTTGAAGCCTGTTCTATTTACTAGCTTCAATTTTTGCTACTTCATTGTTACCATGCCTTATTGTTTTCTGTTTTATCTAAACAGGGACATTTACATCATCATGGCGAATAAAAAAAGGATATTTTATCAATAAGTCAAATGATGTCAAAGGATGTATTGTATGTGCTACCTTAACTAAAAATACTGACATAGGAACATCTTGTTTACGATTCAAATATTTGCCAAGACCCACACCGGGTATATGTACATATACTTTAAACGATACAAATATGTGTGTAAACTGCGTAAACTTCACTAGTATTGTTAGTCCACTGACATATACATTCTTTCGTAAGTCATTGGCCATTGATTTTATGATTTAATAAATACTTTATCAATAATATTCGCTTAATTTTTTTACAATTCTTTTCAAGCATTTCATGCTTATCAAAAGGATTATTTACGCACTGATTTGAACTTTCTCACACCTATGAACCGTAATCTGTTTGCTAACAACAACTAAATGACCATTAGAAAATCAGCTGTCAGATGAATATAGGAAAATTGACTGGCTTCTACTGAAAGATTCGGAATTTCAATATTTTAAAGTAAACCGAATTGAGAGAACAAAAGAAAAGTATAAAGGGATTCACTGAGAAAAAATGTAGCATCAACCACAGGACACTGTCCTTCTAAAGAATTAATAATCCATAATTATTTGAAAATGGTTTTCAATAGATAAGGAAACTCCAGCGTGATACACGTGGTATGAAATCTCAGTCTGAGTATAATTTTATCTTAGACAATGGTAAAGAAACTTTTTGATATCAATATAATCCCAATAGCAGTAGGAGTATAAAGAAAGTGAGGGATTTTATTGTTATGTAACTTATAACCAACTTTTCATCAATTTATGTAAATTTTTATTTTCCAAGACAAAATAACCTGATTATAAAAAGTGTAAGTCTTAAATCAGTGTCCTATATCACTCTTTTTTTTTCTTTTGGAAACGGTCAATATTTATATAAATAATCGATGACAGTTGTTAAAAAAGAGGGAACTAGTACACATTATTGACTTTTCAATTCAACTATCTTTTTACCAGGAACTTAAATGGTAACTAATCTCTTAGTTTTTAATCTAGATGGTAGAAATATTTTGTAGTTAAGAGTAAAGATAATCATGTTTTTTTTTGTTTTTTTAAGCCATGATGTTTGATTAAGTCCATGATTACTTTCACTAGTTAGTCGGTGAGTTATAAATACTTACACATTTTAAAAACATTCATCAATGAAATATTTGAACTCTTCGCTAATCATTCTTTACAGAATTATTGTTGACTGAATATTTACACTTTTTAAGAGTATAACTGAAAGTTGAATCATCCATGAAATTCAAGAATGAGAAATATTTCATCATAACCATTAAATATATGTTTCTTCAATAATTTATAGTTGCTATGATAATGAATTTTCTTTATCAAAGATGTCCATGGTTATAATAAGTTAATGTACTGAAAAATACAATTTTACACACTTATATCAGGAGTAGAATATTTGTTTTGGTCTCTTTCAAGTTTAGTTTGACGACTGAATTCCTTTCACTAATGAAAGATGTTTACGAAATTTGATAGAATATTAGATTATTGGTAGTTGCATTTAAGAGGAAACCCTTAAATAAGTGATTTTACAAACATATAATAGTTCTCCACTTTAGCTATTTATTATCACTGAAAGTCAAATCACGTTTAACAACCAATAGTTGGATTCCAGTGTTAGTGAAACACTATTAAGAGTTTAACATAGAAAAAATTATTGCGAAATTAATTATTTCACTTATTTTTCAAATATTATACTTATTTGATATATTCTTCAACAATCTTATTTACTAGTTACGAATTCATCCATCAAAATTGCTCTTGCAAGTGAAAACCTTCCTAAAACTTGTTTCGTTGTACCTTATATGTACAGTCCACTAGATGCTTGTGTCTATGTTTCTGATAAATTTGGGGGTTCAATAGAAGTATGCTATGCGAATATATTCGTAAGTTTTTATTTATTTATTGATTCTTCCCTTTTAATGATGCATTTCATTGATAAACAAAAAAACTAGTAATCATGTTTACGAAAAAGTAACCAGGTGATCAATGTTTCAGGGTCACGATTGACGAGCATAGCTAATTATCTGACTGTTCATAATGCATCACATTTCGAAAATTAAGAAGTATTTTTATGTACATTCTCAGAGTCCAACATATAAATGAAAAAGTCGCAAAGATATCTTTTGAACTTTACATCTAAAACTACTAAGTAGAAACAATCACATCTCACTTTCTACAAACATTTGAGTATCTATAAAACTCCACCAATATCTATAAAAACATTGTGTGTTTACCAGGCTTCTTTATAAAATTGATAATATACTGTGAATAATCTAAGTTTATACGTCAAAGAAACATGTAAAATGTACCTGAATAAATTAAAAGATCAAAGTGCTCATTTAGAATAAGAAATTATTGGCTTCATAAGTTAATACTAGTAGAAAGACTTTCTAGTTAAATAGAACTTAACCAATATTTCTTTATAACGAGAGCTCTAATGATTACCTGCCCATCACTTTTAATGCATCGAGACCATAAGCTATATGCTTCATAACTAACATGGAACTCTTTGAATTTCATGAAGGCAAATCGAACTATCAGCAAAACTATAGTGAAGATGAAAATACAGTTCAAGAGGTTCAGCATGCCGGTAGTGATCAAAATTTAAATCTAAACTGTCATTTGTTCCTTTTGCTTTGAGTTTGGACCTACAACTACTATTCTTACTGTCACTAGGAATGTCATAGAAAGCATCGGTTAACATTTTTTTCGTTTTTAGGTCCAAGCGAAATCACTGGATCTTATGCGTGCCGCAATACAATCACTTGTAGAAGACAAAAAAGCTGAATTAAACAGATTGGTTGTTACTGGACAGTTGACAGAAAGTGCTGATCTAGTTACCAGTTATGCATCTGCTGTGCAAATGTTCTCTACTCTTGAAACTCGGAGTAAGTATAAACTGTAATAAACGCTATTCACTCGACGACTTGTGTTAATCAGGCTCAAAACTTCACACCCTTATTCTGTTCTAATGAAGGTATAATTTTTGAATCGATGACTTTAGATGACGACAACGAATAGGTGCAGATTCTCTTATTAATTTTATCTTAGTTCAAATTCCAATGAGTGAACATTTCAGCATCCAACCAGAAACTAGTTAACCCAGTGTGAAACACCTGGAAATATCCTACTTGGTTTTTGGTTAATTTTTAAGTGTAAGAGAACACTTGAATCGAGATGCCCCACAGCTACTATAAGCCCATTCCAGTTTGTCGTGTTAAATTTAAATAAATACGAGTAACAAACTGTTTATGTTACCGACTGTTCGACACCTCGCTGTTTGGTAAATCAACCAAGCAAACTAAAATAAGACTAAACTCTACCAGACTATTCAAGTTTTACTTTCTGTGAATTCACTAAAGTAGTACAGAGTGTAAATGTCGTAAGGAGGCAGCTGTGTCATAACAAAACTTTTGTATCAAAACAGGGTTTGTCTGTGATCACTGTTATCTGAGACAATTCAAGTTTGACAATAATTATATGGATAAATAACTGGTAAATGGAAAACCAAAACGTTATTACTTATCATATAAATCATAAACTGTCAAAGCAAGAGAGGCTTAGGAATGACCTTTTTATAGTTGTTGGTTGCATGGTAATACTAATCTCAAATTTTATACACAAAGAGCAAAAGAAACCAATTGGATCATTAAAAAGAATGAGACGGATCAGCGAAAAGAAATTTTCTTTTCAACGGTGTTATTCACCAAAGCTACATAATCGAATTCTTAGTAGTTTAACTTATTTTAATAAATAATGTTATAGAATAGATGTTATGTTATCAGCAAAGCAATATTTAGACATAAGTTTCAGAGGCAACATGTGATCCTTCAGCTTTACATAAATAATTTCTCAACATTTTCTAAAAAGGCAGAAAATTCTGTACCACCGAGACTTTCTGAATATGTTCACTTGAGCAAACTTAACTGGTCACAACCTCTATCGCAATATTCTAAATTCAATCAGAGTATGCAATCAGTGAATAATTCATTAATTAAACAGGCCATTATTTCACTTCTGTAGAAGCTATGAGTACGGGTTTCTTTCAAAAAACATATTTAGAGTCTAAAACATTCAAGACTGTACTTCGGTTTTTGTATAACAGTATACGGTTCAATAATTGTTTCTGTTTTTGTTCACCTTTTTCAGACTCCGCTGGTGCAAATAATGTAAGTTATATTTTTATGAATAAAATAATTTGTAATATCAACCTAAAGAATAATTATTTACTTATCATCATCTATAATGCATGATAAATTGAACATCTCAGCTAGCTGTGTTAATTGTAGGCATAGGTTAATGAAAACATCGAATTCTTTATATCATTCACTTAATTGTATTAGAATGATGTGATAGAAGAGTGTAATCCAATAAAATTGCTAAAATGAATATGTCAACTCCCGATAATTTTCTGGTTAATCAACAATGACTTACTTCAGAGATCACAATTATGCGTTCGGCAATTTAATTAACAAATAATTGTATATCGTGGATCAACAAATAGAATATCTTGGTGACTCGATAATTGTGTTTTCAGTTTTCAATTCTATCCCTGTAGTTTGGTTTTAATGAGTGCTTTAAGTCAGACAACAACAAGCCTGCTAAATAAGTCTCGTTTTAATTAAATTTTATCAAACTTGAGGAAACGTTGCTCTTATAGATATTTAAAGCTGGTTCTTAAATGCATTTAATGATACTCGCTATGCAGCTGACCGTCACTGACATAGTAGTATGGTTGATTCAGTCTTGGCATTACTAAATCAATAAAGCTTAATCAGCATTAAGGATTTGTGCCAGGCTTTAGTTACCACATGAATATTTTGAATAAAATCATATCTTACAGAAAAAATGGAAATGTCGCTCAAACAAATCAGAGACATATATTCTATTTGTAATCAATCTTTAATTTGTTTAAGTGTATCAAACCAGTATTATTCTGTTCAGTTTAGGTGTTTAGGATGAATCCAACGAGATTGATCAATAATAATTCAGGAGACAAATTACAGAAATACGTGCCTGAATGTTTATAACCAAATAAATTGTGTCTCCATTTATTTTACTCATATCATTTATTGCCCTTCTGTTTTCGATATTAAATATGTTATTATCTTTGGTCTTATTCGAACTGATTTTCTCAGTAGATATGGGTTATAAAATCCTATTTATTTGAAAGAAATGTAGCTAAGCCTCACAGCTAATAAATGTTAATTTGTGAAATGTTTCACCAAACAATATGGTTGATTTTACATTCTAGTAAAACCTCGAATTAAAATGAATTTTTTTCAATACTCCTTAAAGTAAAAATTATGAACTATTTATTTCTCTGAACAGTAAGTAGGCTAACGAGAGATTTTCGTTATTTCAGCTTATGATATATTCTTCCCTTTATAAATTAATCAGTTGAACATTCGATACAACAGTTGGCGTATATCCTTCAATCAATGGGATTGTTTAGTGTAATGAATCTAATAAACATCTGTATTTCACTATTTTGTAACTTGAAAAAAATAATTTAATATTTTTCAATCTGATTAATTAGTCAAGTTACTTCTATGTATGTGAGCGTTTGTCTAATTCTTTGAGATCTATTCAGTTCTAATATGATCATGATACTCATCATGACAATGTTGATTATACTATCAAATGTTCCTATGTTTTTCATCCCCCAATTTTTTTTTTAATAATTTTACGTTCTTTGGAAGAAAGTCTAGTAGCTTCATCTCACTAAAATTGTGTAGCCACATGAAAAGCTGTGATCAAGACTTAAAACAATTCGAATTCGAGCCTTTTGTCAAAATGCAGTTCCACAAATATCCATCATAAGAGTGTGTAAATGAAAGACAAAACTTTTTGTTAGTTAATTTTTCTCCAGCCATATTATTTAGATTATAATTGATTTCCTCTGTTAGGTGTTTATTCTTTTCATCTATTGTATGTAGGTAGGCAACGGTGAGCAAAAAGGTTGAATTATACAAACAACGTCTATCTTGCTTTTGGTGGTGTTTAGGACCTCAGTGTATATTTTACCATAATAAGTAAATCTAAGTCTCGAAGAAGGTACATATATATATATATATATCATATCATATTTAGAACTACGGTTTTATTTCATAACGCGAAATTCTGAAACACCGAACGTGTTAACTACACAGTAATCTTTATTAGATTCTTCTATGAATAATATATAATAACCTCAATTTATTTTCTTACAGACCCCAGATGCAATTTTTAATCGTGATTTACGTTCTAAGGTAAGTGATATTAAAATGTCAGGCTGACTTAAATTATCAGTATTTAGAACTCTGTAATCCGATTACTAATTAAGGATGATTTATTCTGTGATAATGTTCTCTGAAACTTGGTTGTTATATCATCTATTTCAGTTCCATGTTAAACCTAGAATTTTTGGTCAGAACACATTGATGATTATAAAATATCTATTTATTAACAACACTGGCAAAATGAATAATCTGACTATAATACATTTCAGTGAAAATTGATTAGTAACGCTTATTTAGCAAATTAATAAGATCGAATTTACTGTAATAAAATGAATGCAGATTTATACATCAGGCCATCAGTCACGGTTTTCACAAGCCGGTTAAGAAAATTGTGGGGAGGACGATAAGATCTACAAGCCTGTCAGATACCTTCAAGAGACTATAACTCTCTATCTGAGGGCTTGTGTATATGTGTTTCATGGATTTTCTTTGTTTTCTTTGTGGAATGCATATTTCTTATTCCTTAAGAAATAAGGGGGAACATGATCAATTTTGGATATCGCTAAAATGAGTCTAAACGACCATAGAATCTAGTTCTGGAATAAATGATAGATAACAGAAATAACTCATTGTCATTAATGAATATATTTAAGAATAATAATCTATATGAAGCCGAATCTGTTTCCGTTTTCTCTTTTGAAACTATTTCACCTAATTCATCCTATATGGTTGAACTTACCACTAAAGTTTGAATTTGGTCATTTATGATTACCTGATAATGTATTTCAACAGATTAGTCTTGGGCGGAAGGAAATAACTTTTATATTCCTCATTTCTATGTAATATAATCAGAGTACAATAGAATATACTATTAAAACATATATAATGAACCCATTTAATTCATTCGATCTATGAGAATCAACAATTATAAAGTTTTATTAGCAGTGAACAGTATTTGAAGAAACCGTGTTTACAAGTGATCGTACATAGGGAACTATTTTGATGGAAAGTATCGATTAAACAAGTTTAGCAGATAATTTCCATGAAAAGATATGTTTTCAATAAAATATGCTAACAGTTTTTGACTCATTTATGTGAATGAAAACTGAAGTTTTGATCTGACAAGTGTTGAAACCATTAATTTTTTGGTGAAGTATACGCTATTATAGTCCAAACCCTAATTTAACATTTAGCAGTCACCCCACTTATTCTGAGTTAAAGAGCTTCTATCAATTAGAAATGAAATGGTCGTGACTTCTCATAGGCATTTCGGGAGATGCATCTTGAAGCCAGTCATTAGTGAATGTATGATTATTATCAGTGTACAGTTTTGAGATTGTGGAATTTTCAAAGTTTAAAGCACTAACTGATCTTAGCTCGGCAATTATCAAAAATCAGGAATCACCGGATAGCTATCTCGTTCTGGTGTGACGGTTCTCCATGTCAGGTGTGATACATTTATCCATCAAAGACTATGAAAGATGGTCGAGCAATATCGTGAGTTGGCTAAAGTCCGACACATACATCACTGATTGCCGGCTAAGTGCTTTAGAGATTAATCCTTCTTACGCGAGACAAAAAACCCTGAGTTTAATTTCCTGTAGCGAGGTCGTGGTTACTCACTGTTGAGGTGTTCCATACTAGGGCAAGATAACTGTCTAGTGATTCCTAGCTTCCAACGGTAAGATCAGTTTACGATTTAAACCATGAAAATCCTACAATCTCCCAAAACTCTGTACCGATTATACTGATTACACACATTTTCATTGAAAAAGAAATAAACTGGTTAAACAACGTTCTTTGACAACATAAAAGGCATTTCTGAATGTAGCAGATTCATAAAAGTACAATGTTTCGTTTTCTCATGTAAATATTTTTTGTAATACAAATCATTAAAGATATTCCTCTTCATGTAATACGCTGGAAATCAATTGTAACTTCGTCACAATTCAAGTTAGAACAAGGTTGCTTACTTAAATGAGATGTAATGAGTTTCGGAACTACAATTTAATTGTCGAAAATATAATTCTGAAACTCATAAGATATAATGCTACATAACTGCATTATTTAATAATATATTATCAGTATTTGTCTGATTGCTTTTGGATTGCAGACTGGTGAATGTTGAAAATAATTACTTCATGGAATGATCCCTCTCAGTACTTCACTGTCCTTTAGATTTAAGTTATATCACCCTCAATCATTTATGAGCACAATCCTTTTTTAATAATCATTGACTTTTATTCCAGAAACTAGTTTTTCTAACTTCAGTCATGTGTATCAATCTAGATAATAATTTTACTGAAATATTTTACTTTTCTGGTGATATCCACTGTGAATCAATAACAACTTTATAAGAATCTCCAGTCTGCCATATTCATTGTTTGGTTTTAAGAATTAAAACTTTTATACTTAGATCCTAATTCTTTCTAGCTTTTCTTTGTCATCATTTACTGAATAGGTTATTCAAATGCTGGTAAATACTGTAAACAATTTTATACCGACTGATTCAAATTCATTCATCTTAGCAATGTCATGCACTGCGAATATACTTAGCAATACCTTGGACGTGGATAGAAGTTCTCAGTCAAAATTAAACACATACCTTACTGAAGTAACTGAATCTCTAGAAGCAATTGTTTGTGATAATACAGACCAGTTGTTAACAATGACCTCAACTATATTTCAATCAGCGCTTCTTTTAGCTGATGTAAGTCCTAAATTACTTTTTAGTACGTTTCCAATTAAAAATTATCTTTTGCTAGATCATAATTTTTTTAACATTCACCTGAAAATAAACAGTGATGCACTAAAACCAAATTCTTTTGATAGATGTCTATTTTACACGGATTGTGTTTGACTAGTCTTTTGTTATTATCTGTTATGAATGAAGGTCAAGCGGTGAAATTATTTTGTATAACAAATAAATTACAAAATATGGCTTATTGCCCATCAGTAATTTCTTAGTGTTACACAGTGTCATCTAATACTGATACGTAACATTTATAAAAAGATGCCTTGGTAACAGAATAAATTTCATAGTCTGTATTGATTATATATATATATATATATATATATATATATATATATATATATATATATATATATATATAATGGTAAATTTGTGTTCTTTATACAAAATAACGAATATTCACTCATCGGATAACCATAACTTTATTTTTAGGCTGGAAATAGTCAGATTAATAACCCAATCTCTTTAGATATACCAACAGATCCAGCTCTACTCGATTACAATGTCGATCTCGAGAAGGCAGGTGAGTTAGTCTAAAACATTTAAAAAGTATTTAATCCTATACAATTAGTCCCGTGGATAAATCTGCATGTTATAATAAGATAACATATTAATGCAATACAATTGGAACCGCCTGACCACATACATACTTGCTAAGATTGTAGTGAACTAGAACACCAGTGGGGACAATCGAATGTACTGAGCACAAAATTACAGGACTTGTTAATAAAATCTAACAATCATAATGTAAATGCTTAATTTGCAAAATGTCCATCGATTGTCTCAAAATTACTCAGACTTCATTGTCCATTCATTTTCATACAAATTGCATTCTGTTTCCATTCGTTACTTTTCGATCCTCTTGTCTCTCTGCTGTCAGACCTTCTGTTCACGACTAACATCATATACTACTTATGTCAATATAAGTAGTACAGACTGAAAGATCATCTATACATGAAAAAATGAAAGGTTACCTAGGAAAATTGAAGACAAGAGGGAACAAAGATGGTGAAGTACTGATTATACGATCATTAAAACCCCTTTCTGTATTCAAGAACAGTTTATTCTCACCTTAGACCTACACAGCGTAGTGATTTTCACATTGTTTTTCACATTATTTTTTAGATTATTTTTGTTTTTAATTTGTCTAGTTGACCTTTTATTTTTCATATATAAATATTCCTAGCAAGTATATATGTGGTCAGATTGTTTGAAGTGTATTGAGCTAATATATCACATAATTCTGAGACTTATAAGTTTTGGTACTGGATTTCATATATATAATCATATGTATTTTTAAGTCTGAATAATACAAGATACAAAGTATTTGAATGACCTTTTCTGTGTTATGGATGGTAGATAGGAAACTGGTGAAAATTTATCGACTTACTAGCATTCTTCACAAAAGGAAATTAACTAGACCAGCTAAAATCATTTTTGAACTGAAAAAAATCTAAAAACAACTATTTAACTAAAACGCGTATTGTGGTAGTTTGTACGCGAAACAAGTTGCTTAGACGTTTATTTGGGAATTTTCATTGTATACCAACAACCAGATATTATTTGCCATAATCCTGTTATTGAATAAACCCAAGAATATATTCTAATATTCGATAAATTTACAGTTGTCCTCTGAATCTTAAACTACATTTCTTTTTTTGGCTAACAGGTCTACAGACATCAGGTTTGGATCCTATGAGTGATTTAATGTTGCAAAACAGTGCAGATCAACAATCATTACTGGTAGGTTTTTCGTTGGGATCATCTTAAATTAATACCAGCATGAATTTAGAATGCTTCTGATAGATTATTTCTTACTAAAAAGTCACCAGTGTTGAACAAAATGAATTATTAGTCTCACTTTCTACTCTTTATTTTCATTCTTTATTACGTGTGAAAGATGTTTGTTAGTTAATATATAGCACAAGAAAGTTGCTGGAAATCAACCACATGCTACTCGTTTTATCTACTGAATTACATTTAATAGTACAAGTAATAAATTTTGGCACTGACATTATAACATATTGACCCATTACAATTTAGAAGTCATCAAACAATAAGAATCAGACTATTAGAATATATTTTAAACTCTCCAATTCCTTAAGTATGGGGGTAGAAACCTTGTGGAAATTCATTTAAAGACGTTTGATTCAGTCTAGACCGGATAATGCAAAATCTTATGTTAAAGTATTTCATTTAGAAATTGATATGGCTACAATAAAGCGTTCTCGTCGAATATGTTTCGTTAATTAAATTTATTTTATCTATCGGATTTTGGATGAAATAGGTTGGCCAGACATTAGATATGATCCGTAATCTGATGACCACATCACAAAAAGTCACACAAGGTTTGTTAATTGAAGGTGCACCGCCAATAACATTTCAGACGTCAAACGCTGTGATTAGTCTTTCTAGGATTCCGCCGAATAAATTGTCAAATAGAATTGCGGTATTAAATGGAAGTCAAAATGATGTTTTTGTAAACAATTTATGCAGAAACTTTCAAGCTTTAAATGAAAGTTGTTCAGAATCATATAGCCTTCAAGTGAGTTTATTAATGCGTAATATAATGGTATTTATTTTATTATGGTTTTCAATACAAGCTAATTCTAGTCATGCAATCAATGGGAATCAAGGAGCGCTATTACACCTTTCGAATATGGAACAACATAGTTCTAGATACCAATAACTCATTATTAGAATGTAATCTAAAACAGCCCACATTCTCAACAAACATGATGTCGACTCAACTCCCTGACAGTTGCAGCTTCTGTTATGTCTGCTGAACACCACTGTTCTGATAAACTTAAATTCAATCCCAATGATGTATCAGTTTCTGGTACAGTTATAACTGAACGACTGGTAGCGGAAAAATAAGGTGTCTTAAGTAATGAGTTGACATGGGTTTAAATTTTCAGTTGTATATGCAGAAGTTAATGTCCTATCAAAAAGTCTGAGAGGCACGCTTATTCCTGAGTGCTGATCAAGACTTCACGAACAAAACGTAACAAGTATACAATGGTATCCAACGATATCCAACGTTCAGTGGTCATTCAACTGCTGAAAAACAGTCTCGTTTTTTAGTAGATACATACCTAGACGTAGAATCTCGTGGTGCTTACATCAGATTGCGTTTTGATTCGAAGGGTTATGTATACCTGAGTAATCTTCAGTTAGACAAACTAAAGCTTAGTCAGCAGTTATGATCACAACAGAAACAACTAAACACTATTTGGAAAGAAAAGATGGAAATTTGATCGAAAAATATAGTTTATTAGTCCTGCTGTAAACATGCTGACGGTTGGTGACAGATAAACAACACTGACTACTTCTACAAACTGATTCCATATAAAAACGACAAGATACGGTGAATCATAAGAGTGTAATCTCCCAGACATTATCAAGCTTGACAATTGTTGTAACCACATAATATAGGACTTATGATTGAGAGTTTGAAGAATGAACACTGAAATTCTATTTGGTTTTCAAAATACATTGAATAATGATTCCAGTTTACTGGTATATTGTTGGAACTTTCCAGACTGCCCACAATGCCTTGTTTCAAACTCTAAGTAGCTACCGAATAGCTGACATGATTTTCACTAGCCATCTGATTTTAACAACATACATGTCAGAAAAATGAAACGATTACTGGATATTTGTTCATAGAATTTCTTATGCGATGAACAAAAAAAATTAAACCAAGTTATGCAGATAATTTAACATATTATTTATACCTAAACAATGACAATACAGTGCGAAAACTTGACATAATGGGGTTCATATTGTTAGGCAGATGAAATTAAAGTGGGAAAATGTATATTGGTAAAAGATAAAATATTGTATCGTTAACTGTTTCATTAGAGAAGCAATAAGACAGATACTGTATACAACATCTCATGTCTTTTGTAGCAAAACAAAGAGAACACTATACAGTAGGAATTTGGTTTATATGTAGAAGTGGTCCTATAAATTCCATTGAACTATAACAATACAGATGTGGTACTTACTGAATAAAGATAAGAAACACTGACCAATCGCTCATAGAATTTAACTCAAACATAACGATTTTGCCTAAAGCTCTGGCTACAAGAGATTTCATACCATCAGAAAGCAATATTTGTGTACTACAAAAAATACAACGAACAAATCCCTAACATCCAGTTATTTTAATGACCCTTTAAGTCATGTCATGCCTTAGAGACTATATGTCTAACATAAATAAGTTACTCAAATAAAAAAAGTTGATTTTTGAATTATCTTTTCCCGGCAAAATAATGTAGTAATTACTCATTTATAAAAAAAATACTGAGAATTCATGTATCCATATGAAAATTGGTATAGTAATTCATTTATTAATCATATTAGCTTCAATATTTACTTATGTGAGTCAAATAAGTTTAATTATAAAATCATTATTCGTATTTTTAGACATTCATATCAAAAACAAACCTGTTCTCATTTCGTACTGGTTCATCTATACCAATCCCATTTCATACTGAGACTATTTCAATGATTTTATACAATAACAAACCAGTTATCGTTAAAGATGTCAAAGAAATAGTTGAAGGAATTGTTCACAGGGTAAGTTTTTTGATTTTTTTCTTAAATGTAACACTACTATTTGATTAACTCATCATATTTTTTTGCGTTCAACTAAAAAAAAATCAGAAAGGTTTTTTTTAAAAATATTATAGTAATTTAATAGTTGAGATCATGTGTCAATTAAAGTTAAACCACCATGGAAAACCTGGAAGCATTGGACGGCTGTTTCGTCCTATTGTGGAACTCCTCATTTTTCGTTAGTTGTATTAAATCATATAAAATTGTTTGTAAAACCAAATTCAGTTTTTAAAATGGGTTACTATCAGAGAATGCCGATATCTTTTTTCGTCTGATTTAATTTTGTAAAGTGCAAGAACAATGATTTTAGCAGAATAGTATGAATTCATCTTATTTCGTTGGTTCTCGTCACCTGCTTACAACCTGTGATATTTAAAATCATAATTACGTAATGGGTTTAAATTGCTTACATGAAAGAGTTTAGTCGGAAGTTATGTTGAAGACAACGGTGTAAATAGATTCGCTAGACTGATTATTGTAAATATATACCTTATGTAAAGGAAATTTCTACGACACTGACTGTGACAGCAGTTCTAACGCCTAGAAACAAGTGATTACATAATAAGTAAACGCTGATAGGAATAAAATGAGTGAAGCTCAGTTAATAAGTAAGATTACTAATCTAGAAGATTGACGAAATAAAAACTCAATGATATGATAAATCCAAGAATAAGTTTAAAAAATGGTTCAAGATGCAACGAAGGAATATTTGTCATCAAGATAAGGAAAGATTAATAACCATCTCCTTTTGAACACATGGGCCAGGTTTGTGATGCCTGGTAGTAACGGCTTCAGCAAACTTCAGAAGACTGGAGTTTGGCTGCTTATTAATCAACCTGAAAGATTGCAAGGTATCGACCAAATTCCTGTATCAAGGAGATATTTAGTAATTGCACTGTTTAGAGTCTTTCCCTTGCTCTGAGGCTTTTTGGAACATCCTCAAAAAATATGATTAGAATTTTTTTCTTCTACTTTGTGTGATAAACGAACTAGATATCGGTAGTTACACCGAGTAAATAAAATACCAATCTATTAAGAATAAATTCTGTAAAATATTTCAATAGATTATAAACTACTATACGTCTTATGTGTAGTTCAATTTGTATAAGTAATTTATTTGATTTTGTATAAAAATTGTGACCATTCGTTAATAACTAATCAGAGAGATTGTATTTACTTTTAACAACTGTCATTTTAATTTGGTCTTTCTCCTAAGATATCAAATTTTAAACAACCAACCTTTACAAGTATGGATCCAGGAACAAATCGACCTCAACTACCAGCTGCACGAATAGCTGTGGATAAAACAGAAATTTATCAAGCTCTTTTGATGAGTCATCAGGTAGTACCAGATGATGTAGCTGTATTTTTCCAGTTGTACCCTGAAAATATTTCTGAATGTCCACAATATTTACTGTTCCTAAGGTAAGAATTGATAAAATTTAATTTGTAAAAATTGTCATAATATGATGAAATCTGCCACATTTTAGTGCTTTTCATTGTCCAGAATTCACCAATTCGATAGTGCAACATGGTAACCGGGTTGTGACATTATTATTATTATTATTATTATTATTATTATTATTATTATTATGTGGTGTTGAAAGATGCAGTGCTGCATTCGGTTTGGATACTGACTAACGTTCCTAATAATAAACATTACTGACTCTGAGATCTATAACTATTCAAAGAGTTACGCACATCAGTAACTGAGATCAGTGCTAAATAAATTTTATCAGTCGCATTTGTAATATAATTACTAAGCAACGTAGCTCAATATTACTGTTGATTCTGTTTCGGATTGAAAATTAGAAAACTAACAAAATTCTATAGATTAAAGATTTACACCTGCTGGTATTCACATTTTAAATGTGTGCATTAAGTTAACTTCAACATGAGATTGTACACTCTAATTTTTGCTATGAATGTGGCATAATTGTATTTGATAGTCACTTACTCTGTGAATGAGACAATAACTGATATAAATTTGAGTTTCAGAACTACTATAGATATATATTCTCCTAAACATTTATGAACCGATAACCATAAGTTGGTTTACATTAAAAACGAATCAAGTTGGAAGAATAAGGTCGAATGAACAGTATAGAGCTTTGAATTGAATTTATGCCGGCTATGACTGACAAACTTCCTAATAAAAGTTCAGAATAATTATCTGATTGTTTAGCACTGTAATATGGTCGTATTTTCACTTAATTGGATAGGACGTATCTAAAACTTTATTAGTGACTGTTAATTAATTTCCACCGCGTATTGATTGGATGACATAAATGTACATCATATAGGTACTAATATTGGGTATTGAAAGAAACTAATTCGTTAGCGCTATTCCAGAAATGTTTATTCCCTCAAGTTGAACTATTAGATACCCGTTTTATTACACATACTATATTGGTAAAATTGATATATATTCTTCCTTCATATAGACTGATTGATCCCCCAGTAATTTCCTTATCAACTGGGGGATATGATATGTGGACAACGTTACCTGAGGATACTTCAAAATGTGGTAAGTAATTGTCAGACTACATTATAAATTTCTACTAAGTCGTTATTATACAGTGTTTTGCTTTGCATATCTATCAAAGTTAAGTTGTTCATCTCAAATAAAGATTCAGGAGTTATTCAATGGTAAATCGTAAACTATATAAAATGTCCCAAATAGCGGTTAAACAGCTATGAAATATAAACCAAATAGGACACTGCTACAAAACGCTAAATAAAATGAGTTCATATGGTTATAATAAGGATAGTCAAACTAATATATAAAGAGAAATAAGGAGATATAATAAAATCGTGTAGTTTATACCAAAACTTTTTCAATCACAGTTTTTGTCAAGCCATTTTCTGTAAATGATCGTTTAAAAAATTTAGGGTTATCTTACTCTTCAGTAAACTATCACATTGCTTATTTATGAAAGTGTTAATAACCAAGTCAATTCACAAAATAGGTTGAATTCAAATGACTTATCAGATTTTCCAGATTATCAAATTCGATAAACGATAAATGAATTAAAATAGTTTGTCTATGGATGAACGAATTATTTTTAGGGTATACAAGTTCGAATCAACCTGACCAAACTTTAAATTTTGATGAATACTCAAGTATATCACTATGACAGCATTCTCTTTTGAAGTTCTAGAGTAAATATATCAGTTGATCATTTATTCGATTGATATCAGTAAGTGGTGGCAGTTATTAATGCGTTAACCGAAGATGATTAGCCGTTTAACTGATTATTACAAACGGATTTTTAGAACCAGATAGTTAATGATCTGCAGGAACTTGTTCTGAAAATGTGGCCATAGTCTAATAATGTGACTTAAGAGATTTCAAGAGCTTTATAAGAAGGGCAGTAATATTTAAAACATAATATATTCAAACAATGTACAAATTAACAGTAAATTTAAACTATCCTGATTGAACTCAACATCTAAATGATTTTTGAAAAGTAACCGAGGTTGTAACAAGGGTGTATTCATGAAGGTCGTCATTCGAAAACTGATATTTGTGTATTATACTTTTATTCATTTATTCACGTCACAAATACGGAATAATAGTACTGTATAAATGACAGTTTTCAACTTATCACCTAAGTGAATAACTCTTAGACTATTTACCTCGTGTGTTCCGGAGGTTGATAAATTACAATTAACAAACCCACGTTACGAGACTATAGGCTACCAACTAATTCAAACAACAATAACTTCTGTCCAGTGAGTTGTAAAATACGAATTGTAAGAACACTTGTTGACCACAATCGTAAATTCTGCTCCAAGGAAAGCCTAAAAGAACTTGCTTTCACTAAAATCTGTTTAAGTAAAAATGGATGCAGAACAAAATTCATGGAGAAGTATGCCAAAACTGACGAACATGTTAAATATGATACAGTTAAGAAGAAAACTTGCCTCCCATTTCTTCACTTCAATGAAGATGAAATTAATGAAATAACCAGCGACAGAATAAATGCTGCAATGAAAATCGCTTATTCAGTAGTAATGTGGTGTATGCTAATTATACGGACAGATATAAATAATATGTATCAAGAATTCAAAGCAAAATTCCTATTGACAGAAGAGAAACATAAGGAAACCACTTTAAACAAAACGAATTGTTCACCAAAACAATCATAAATCGGCCGGTCCTCTTTACTCGGTACCATCGACCGCATTTGCCAATTTACATATACATGCGAAATTACATTTGTTGAAAGAACAGGGAGAAAAGTACATGTTTGCAATTTTGAGCACGTTCTAATGAATTCGAAACTGAGAGCTACAATGGGCTTAAACAGTGCAATAGCTTTGGATTCAGTTGGTACCTGGCATATCATTGAAGTTCTTCAATCATTCACAATTATCAGCGGACAAACGAGCGGTGCCTTTTCGGTTTTTCCGAAGCATTTGCAATTAAGGAACTCAAACCTGATTTAAGTGTCCAGAAAGAGACAGTAATCAATCTATCGTTACCTTGATAAATTCACAACTTTGATTCATATCACCTGGAATTATTTTTGTCAGTATTATTACTAGCATTTTACTACCATGTTATATATATATAGCAAAACGAAAGTCACTTTGAAGTATGATTGAACAGATAGTCAGTATATTTACCAATCAAAATATATGACTATCGTTCGAAGGATATTAATACTGTCTGTGTGAATGTGATGAATCTATGGTCCTGGAAGAATAGTTATATAAACCTGTACGATGCAAGTGCAAGTGGTACAAAAATATAGAGCAGAATAAATAGATTAAGTGAGACTATAAGAATTAGCTAATGATCCAGTAAATCAATCTATTAAAATCATAAGCACTCATTATGGTATCATGCAATAACTACAACGTTATCAAAAAGACTTATTGGAAGTTTGCATTTAGAGATAATTTTGTATATACCATTCATTTTGATTTCACAAAGTAATCATTTATGTAGTGGCGGTTACTGTGTTAAGCCCATAGCGTCACTAAAGTGTTGAGCCCGCCTATGACATCGTCCTATCTAATTGACGTCAAAATGAAGGATCTCACAGTTATGTACTTCTTTGTATTTTGTTTTCAAATTGTCATTATTCGTTATATATTAAACAGTACGAGTATACTGCGTGTTTTCAAGAAAATGTTTAACTAATCCAACTTAATGATAATAATTTCTGATACTGATAAAATTTAATTGCCTTAAAAGTAAGTAAAATATCACAAGAAACGTTTCATGAGCCTCTCATACTCCTTTATTAATTAATGGGAAAAAATTTCATTTTTCTACCCTAGTTAATATGACCACAAACCCAAATGATCCAAATTACAGATATACATTTATGTTGGATAACCGTCAACTAATGGAGCTTAGATCAACACAGAAATATAGTGAAAGATTTGAACTTCTACAAAAGTCTGTAGCTCAAACAGTTTACATTGGTTTTCGTCAATTGAATCAGTATGAGATTAATACGTATAAAAATACAAGTCCTCCATTAATTCCTTATCAATACAGGGACCAAATAAACAACACAGCACTTTCACGTTGGTTTTTAACATCTTGTGTATCTGGTCAAGTGGATTCTTCGAAAAAATGGTCCACAAGCAAATGCCGAGTGAGTTTGATATAACTAACATTGTTATAAACTAGATAATTAGAAAGATATTCATGGATTTCTCCCTAAATTATCCATGTATACAAAAGTACAGACTTTATCTCAAAACCCGATCAGTTGCACTAAAAAAACCAAATAAGTAATAAACAGCTACTTTACAAAATTCTGAGGGTTCTAAGTATTTAATCTCTATAACTATTTCTGAAAAGCAAGTAAATGATCTCCAGATTTACACATTTACTACTCGAAAACATCTCAAGAATTTGGGAATCATTTTTCAAATACAACAAGCCTATGTATTGCATTCAACAAGTATTCGACTAACATTAATAAATGATCAGTGTATTTTATTAACATAAACTCACTGATCCAAATACTTATCTACAGGATTTCAAACTAGAATTGAGCATTTTAATCTTTAATGAATCGTATAACCAGTACTTTTTTCTATCAGACACAAACAATAAGCTGGGAGAAATACATATTTAGAGCCTAAATTGATTCTACCGAAGAACCGTAATGATTAGCTTATAATTAAAAACTCACAATTTCCATCTGTTCACTCAGTGCATGAATTAACACATTTAGCTGTGTTATTACATAGGTTAAGTAGTTTAATTTTAATTTAACAGGCTTTAAATAAAACCGAGTCAGTATGATAATTGAATAAGATGATAAAGTAATATTAATAATTAATAATTAATACTCTTTCTTGAATCTTAAAATAAATACGCTGGTCTATGTATTTATTGTTTTGTTTTTTTACATTTAAGGTTGGTCCTAAGACTACCGTTCAACAGACTCAATGTATATGTGATGAATTTTCCACATTCACATCTGGATGGTTTGAACTACCCAACAGTATCGATTTCAATTATGTATTTGCTAATATAGATTTTAACAAAAATCCTACACTGTATGCTACAGAGATTTCCCTTTGTATCATATTTTTATTAATACTTATCTGGGCACGTAGAGAAGATATTAAGGATATAGAAAAGGTGAGATATTACTTTTAAGATAACATTGAAGACTTTTTAGTGAAAAAGTTAAAAGTACAGCTAAGGTATTCATCACTCACTTGAGAATCACTCGACATGGATTTGTTGAAATAACATAGAAACTTGGTTATAAGTTAGATATTACTGTTTAGTTGAGAGAAAAGTGAACTGGCAAGATAAAAGGTAACGATTTAAACATAATTTATTTTTCCAGCTTCAGTTACTGGTCTTTAGTACATTTTGGTCACGAGTGACTTGTATATTACATGCATCTCACGATCTACAAAATTAAAAATAAAGGTTAGAAGTTCATGTCATCAAAAGATAAGTATTAATTGGAAGGGAATAGTTATATTTAATATCGAAAATGTGCTATAATCAAGGACTTGGTTAGAAATATTAACGCAGGGATAATCATCGCAATACATCCTGTTTACAAATGAAGTAGTAATTAACAAATCATGTTTTAACGGAGCAACATCTAATAATAACTAGTATGTTAGGCAGTTCTTGTTTGATCAAATATTTCCCTAAAGCAACAAGATTTAATAGCCGCGGTCCTATGGCTTAAACTTGGGAAAGTGGACCGCCGTAAACCCTATGGTGAGAAGTGTGAACATAAACACTAGTACAATAAAGGCTTATTAACTCTCCACAAATACGATCCCCAAAACAAGTCCTCAAAATGATTCGTCTAAAATCACGCCGTCATTAGACTAAATTAACTCATTAATATGCTTATTTTACACACACTCGATGGTTAATCAATAAACATCATATAAACGAAAAGGTACACATGGTTACTGTAAAACACTTACAATGTCCACACAGAATAATACGATGAATATAATTGTCACTCTAGAAGGAAGTTTACATCTGTCATGCCGAATGAATTTCACAATTGACTGTTACAAAACATATATATCTGATATAATTTTGCGCTGGAAATTATAACCCCAATATTCTGCTGACTTAATGTCACTCTGAGAATGAACTTATTTCATAAAATTTTGCACCAAGTTAGAGGTAAAGTGAATTTGCCTTCTTATCCTTACTTTTCAACTTATTATTCGACTATATAACAACATATCGTTATTATACAATGTGATTTTTTATGAAAAGAACAATATTTATTGACTTTGTGGGGGGTTAACTTTACCTTCAGTTATCAAATATAGAAATATCCAGGTATTTCAAAGGATTCAATGTGAAACAGAATATTGTTTGAACAAGAGCAAGAAAAAACATAATACTTCTTATTCAAAAAATAGACATTTTATTTCATGATTTCCTTACTTAACCAAAGATAATATTCAAATGTAACTTACAAATACATAGATATGCCAAAGTTGTTAGTTTATATTTCACCACAGATTGCTACCAGTTAGAACTTCAGGGAGACTAGGCAGCTACGTAAACCTAGCTTCAACCTCTTGTACACAGCCATAACCTTATCAGGAATTAAACTTAAGGTTTTGAGATCCCTTGGGCGAGTGAGTGTTACATTTACACAACTGAGAAGCCCAATGGTTCACATTTCTAAATTCGGTTAGTTCGTTATATAGCACTACCCAAAGTTAACCTGTAACGAGAACTTTCAAAATTCAGTTAGTCTTCACCATTAAACAAATTCATTTCAGCATGATGAGAGGTTCGTTATTGTCTTTCTTTGTAAACAGGTTAGATTGAAAGTATTTATCATCAATGATTTTTTATACATTGAAGTGTAATCAGTGTCACAAATATCTGATATCTTAAATGCATAACGATGAAACCGGTAAATATGTTGCTTTTCACAAACAAAAACTGTAAATAATCTCTGAAACATGACAGATTCCCCTTTCATATTTCTATGTGTTTCTTTCTACGAACTCATGCAAATGAATAGATAAAAATATACATTACATTAGGAATGATATATTGTTTGTTAGCAATATACCCAGACAAATGGATACTTTCTAAAAACGTTTTATATCTCATAGAAACGCTAATTAATATCTTATTTTCTGTCTTTTCATATTTAGCTTACTGTCACACAGTTGTCTGAGAATAATCCAGATTGTGAGTATTTTTATGAAATCATTGTGAGTACTGGACATCGTAGATGTGGGGGCACTGATTCTAAAGTCTGTTTTATTCTTTCTGGACAATATGGTGAGACAGGCTGTTACGTTCTACAAGATCCCAATCGAAAAGTATTGTGTCGTGGTGCCACGGATCGATTTTTACTCGCTTGTCCAAAGTAGGTTTCTAGTAATTCAACCTAAAAAGTAAAATTGTTTGGCGATTTCACTCATTTCATGTTGGCATACCTTTGGTCCCATTAATTTTGATGTCGTATTTGTAGGAGATAAGTCATACTTGTGTTACTTGATTACCGCTTTATGATCAAACTATGATCCGAGTATGAACGCGTGATGAAGAGTGATGAGGAAGTTTTTAAACTTCAAGATATTTTTTAGTTAAAGGTAGTATAACCTGACTGAAAGAATGGTTTCATAAACGTACTTGTTGCTTAGAGACAGATCTCTAGTGTCTATAAAAATATCGTACAATCACGTATGGTTGAAATAAAAACTTCCAAACAAATTCATCTTCTAAACTCTTAAAATTAAAGCCTCGGTTAGGATTAAATAGGATTAAATAGCAAGAAACGTGGCCTGTATTCTTCTGATGGCAAATAAAAATATTTTTAAGAATTGTTTGCGCTCATGTAAACTTCCACCTTCTCTTAAAAATATTTTTGAATCACTAAACAACAATTTTTAATTTTCACACTACATCTCTTATTACTCCTGATTTCATACGGAAATCTGATTAACGCTTGATACAAATCTGTGGGTTTATCAACAAGTTAATTTTACCTAGTTCTTACATCCCATATTTACGTTCATCATTCATTAGAAGTATAAATGTTGAGTACTTTAATAAAGTTATGGTCTGTAGAGCTTTAAAGTAAAACTAGAGGTACTATTAATGTTTTTGGTAAAATTTTCAAGTTACTTTGTATTCATCCCGGTTATTTGCTAATTAGACTAGTTAGTTGGTTTAAAATAAGCTATTATTAATAAATTCCCTCAAATTATCAGTTACATTAAAACTTGAATAGAAATAACATGTTATGTAAAAGATTTGAGGAAGTAGGATTGACAAGCAAACTCTTGTATGTTTACCATGGCTACTGCTATGCAGTTAAGAGCATACAACGAGTCAACAAAACAGCAAGAATTATTTTCTGATTCAGGAAAATAATCCATATAAGTTAAAGTTGATATCGGAGAAATTAACATTTCTCACTACATGAAGTATGATTATCTACATAAAGGTTCCAAAGAGAAAAGACCGTATACAATTTATATACCAGTTGATCAATGTACACCATAATAAAATCCCAGTAATCGAATCTCAAAATGAACACATTCGAATGTTATTTAATAAAAGCGGTTTCAAGCTAGGAAATTTCAAAAATTTCAGATTGGGATCAGATTTACTTTCAAAAAGTTAACATATATTTTATGTAACATAAAATTAATTTTCTGACTAGCTAGTAGACGGTCAGCTTCAATACATGATTTAACTTTGAAAAGGAACTGTCACTGGGGTGTTTGTTACTTACGTCGACATACGCAAGTAGTATGTAACACCATTCGAAAGTGGAAACCCTGGCAGCAGAAGACTAAGAAGATCAAATTGTAGAGAATATAAAGGGATTGAGATTAAGAAGAGTCATACAGAATGTGAAGGACAAATAATGGAAATTTGCAAATGGACTATTCAATATATGGTTCATCTATTTTACCAAGATATTCTTTTGTTCCTACTTTTGTTCTCGTTCTCAACACCACTACTACTGGTTGGATCAACCGAATTGTTATGAGAATGAATTAACCATAGTAACTCCCAGACTATGAATGTATAACTCTTTTTATTACTAAATTATAGTTAGTAATATAAAAGTTTATACTAAAATAATCACTCATAAATGTTATGTGCGTAAATTATGCAATTTATTGATAACATCATCTATTATATTTCCACGAAACTTATAAAGGTCCCACTACTCTACTATTTATTATACAGACCGCTGGGGCCGTTAATTTACATACGTTTATGGCATGATAATTCTGGTGTAGGTGATAAAGCATCGTGGTATTGCAATTATGTTGGAGTGGTTGATTTACAAACTAGAGAAAAGTCACATTTTATTGTTGAAAGTTGGTTTGCAGTTGAAGAAGGTGATGGTCAGGTAAATTGTTAGAAATATGTCAAAATAAATGGAATTAATGAATGTTACTATCGTCTAAAAATGATTTTTATGAATAGTATCTGTCACTTCTCCAAGGATCTTAGAAGAATAATATTAGGGAGCATTAGCGTTTCCTGGTTTCCATTTCTACTACAATTGATGTCGACTCATTATAAATGCTATTCGAAAATTGAATTAATAACCGTAAATTTTTTAAGCAAACTAATATGACTTTTTTACATGCCTTGATTATTGATTATTATTCAGGACATATATCTCAATTGAGATATCAATGTATTTGATACCTAAATTACTATTTTCATCAGTATATGTTCTTGTCATCGACAAACAAGTTGCCTTCAACAAAAGACTGTTGGAAAGATCAGTGTTTATAAAATCAAACAATATCAATAGCAAGTAGAGCATAGTTCAATCAAATATGATTTCTTACATATAGCTAATTAGATAAAACAATCGAGAATCCAAGATTTGTTTAACCTGATTATAAGTTAAATCAATCCACTCCAAATGATTTGTGATTCTTAAGATACAGGTGATGAAGAGCTTCATCTTAGTTTCGTTATGATTGCAAGTATCAAATCTGAACTACTAAGAATTGTGATATATATTAAACTTATACTGTAAGGAGGATGAAATATTTGTAATGAATACTTAAACGAAAGTAAAAGTTGAAGCATTGACCATAATCATTATCAACGATGAAACCAATTGTGTCTAATATTTTAATCATAACTATAATTTCGTTTCAGTATCCGTAGTAATCATGAAGGTAAATAATAAACACACTCGAAACTTCACAATTGATTGATCCCTGGCTGGTGATTAATGTCATGTGTGTCAAGTCCTTCTTAGCGCAAATCAAATGCTATCGACCAAGCTGCAATGTGGCCACTAGTCTAGGTGACTCGACATTGCGTGCACTATGCTGAGATAAGATAGTGGTTGGAGTTAGTTAACAGGAAACCCTGGACCCGGGTTTCGTGCTACTTGGCACTCGTCAGCAAGGTGTACCTGTAATCTTGAGGGAAGTGGTGCACCAGAAGGACTTGACACACATGACACTGATCACCACCCAGTGATCAATCAATTGTGATTACATTTCAGTCCTACAGGAGGTCGGCCACGGCCCGGATAGCCCAGTGTTCACGTCTCTGACTGTGGAGCTGGGTGACACGGGGTCGGGTCCGTTATGGAGCACCGGTTCCCTCAAGATTCCAGGTACACCTTGCTGACGGGTGCCAATAGCACGAAACCTGGGTCCAAGGTTTCCTGTTGACTACCTCGAACCACCATCTTACACTCGGAACTTTTTTAGTAATAATTTTCTGAGTACAGAGGAAATGTAGACATTTAATTAAATATTTTAATAGCCAATTGAATAAAATAATACAATGTGAACAATGATCACTTATATTCTGTTTTCTAACAAATCACTTCATAGCAGATTATTAAGGTTTCAGATATTAAGTAGCTTTGCAGGAAGATTTATCTAGAAGTGATGAAAATTATGTAGCAGAAATTATAACAGTGTTGTGAAAAGAATGCCAGAATAAATGTAACTGGTAGTGAACTTCACTAATGCTTCTTTGGGCAGACAGTTTGCCTGTAAGTAAACCATAAAATATCCATATGGAGTGAAATGATTATCCGTTCAAAGCTTTGTTTGGGATATGTTGTACAAAAGTAGCTTTAATGGCCCTCACTAGCTTGTTAAATCTGCAGGTAAGCATGTAGTGTTAGAACTACCTAGAACTAGTAAACGAACGTTTTAAAATAGTTTATAAACTCCATAATGGTTTTTAGTTGTATGAAATATTCACATAAAACCTGTGTATTGTATGTTAAATACTGAGAACGAGAGTGCGAAGGAACAGTAGTGATATTCATTAGTGGAACATCGTTATCTACATTAATCTAATTTTAAGGCTTCCTAAAAACATAAATGACAGGCAAACATCTTTATATTTACTGTACCCATTGTAGAAAAACAAAAATACTTCGTTTTACAAACCTCGATTCATTTATTAGTAAAAGTATTTATTGTCTATGTTAAAATATTATTTAGGTGGATCGTATTATTCCTGTAACAAGTCAAGAAGAAATGTTAACATTTATACACATGTTCAGCACAACAGCATCTCGAAATATGACTGACGATCATTTATGGATATCAGTTGTAGCTCGTCCAATATTCAGTCGATTTACCAGAGTGGAAAGAGTTGCCTGTTGTTTACTTTTACTTTATCTATCTATGCTTGGTTCATGCATGTTTTACAAAGGTGAAGGATCTGTCAAACAGCCAAATTTAATTAGTCTTGGACCATTTGGATTCACTCCCACAGAGGTTAGTTAATATTTTGTAATTATCCATTAATAACAAAAAACATTCACTAATCTAGATCAGAATGTATCTGAAGCTGTTTGTAACAAAGAGATACACATCTATATTTTTTCTAGAAAAACGTTGATTCACCAATTCACCGGTGTTGTTAAATCTATCGAAACGTCTAAATCACACAATTGATATACGCGCAAAATCGAAGTTCAGAAAACAGAGATTTACCTACAAATCGGTTCTTTATTAAGTAATATATATAAATTAGCTACAAACCTAAACTTGTGAAGTATCTGTGGCGCCTTGACAGTCTGTAATTCTGAAATAAAAAAAGACTTCCCACAATGATAACATAAAGAATAGTCACAACATAGTGTAGTGCAAACGACAGCTGTTAGCTGTGTTTAAGCTTGATAACAGTTTATCAACGTGCGAAAATGAACCAAGAGCAACTTACTTACTTACGCCTGTTACTCCCAATGGAGCATAGGCCACCGACCAGCATTCTCCAACCCACTCTGTCCTGTGCCTTCTTTTCTAGTTCCATCCAATTCTTGTTCATTTTTCTCATGTCTATCTCCATTTCCCGGCGTAATGTGTTCTTTGGTCTTCCTCTCCTCCTTTGGCCTTGAGGATTCCATGTGAGGGCTTGTCTTGTGACACAGTTGGGTGCTTTCCTCAATGTGTGTCCTATCCACTTCCAGTGCTTCTTCCTGATTTCTTCCTCCGCTGGGATCTGGTTTTTTCTTTACCACAGTACGTTGTTGCTAATAGTGTCCGGCCAATGGATCTGAAGTATTTTGCGTAGACAATTGTTAATAAACACCTGTATTTTCTGGATGATTGCTTTCGTAGTTCTCCAGGTTTCTGCCCCATACATTAGAACTGTCTTGACATTTGTATTAAAAATCCCGACTTCGATGTTGTTTGACAGTTGCTTCGAGTTCCAGATGTTCCTCAGTTGTAAATATGCTGCTCTTGCTTTGCCGATCCGCACCTTCACATCTGCATCACATCCACCATGTTCATCAATAATGCTGCCCAGATATGTAAAGGTTTTTACATCTTCCAAATCTTCTCCGTCAATTGTGATTGAAATGGTGCATGCTGTGTTGTATTGAGACCTACTGCTGCTGAGGCTGCTGCTACACTGGTCGTCTCCTGCATTTGTTGTTGCGTTTGGGATAGGAGGGCCAGATCATCTGCGAAGTCTAGATCGTCCAACTGCATCCTAGATGTCCATTGTATCCCGTGTTTCCCTTCAGATGTTGACGTGTTCATGATCCAGTTGACCACCAGGAGAAAGAGAAAGGGTGAGAGTAAGCAACCTTGCCTGACATCGGTCTTTACCTCGAACGACTTTGTCAACTGTCCTCCATGCACGATTTTGCAGTGTAATCCATCATATGAGTTCTGTATGATATTGACTATCTTCTGAGGCACGCCGTAGTGTCGAAGAAGTTTCCATAGTGTTGTTCTGTCCACGCTATCAAATGCCTTTTCTTAGTCGATGAAGTTGATGTAGAGTGATGAATTCCATTCAATTGATTGTTCTACAATGATCCGTAGAGTTGCGATTTGATCTGTACACGATCTATCCTTACGGAATCCTGCCTGTTGGTCACGAAGTTGGGTGTCTACGCAGTCCTTCATCCCGTTTATCAATACCCTGTTGAAGACTTTTCCCGGTATTGAGAGAAGAGTGATGCCTCTGTAGTTATCACACTTGCTGAGATCGCCTTTCTTTGGTATTTTGATCAGAAGTCCTTCTTTCCAGTCTTTTGGTACTTGTTCTTCATCCCAAATCTTATTGAAGAGAATGTGGAGTATCCTTGCAGTTACCGCTACGTCTGCTTTCAGTGACTCTGCTGGAATGTTGTCTGGTCCCGCTGCTTTGCCACTCTTGATTTGTCTGATGGCCATGCTGATTTCTTTAGTTGTTGGTGGGCCGACATTGATTGTGAGGTCCGTGGGTGCTGCTTCGATATTGGGTGGGTTCAGTGCGGCTAGTCGATTCAAGAGTTTTTTGAAGTGCACTACCCACCTGTTTCGTTGTTATTCAATGTTGGTGATTACCTCGCCTTCCTTGCTTTTCACAGGTCGTTCTGGTTTGCGGTGATTTCCAGACAGTTTCTTTGTCGTGTCATACAGTTGTTTGATGTTTCCTTCTCTTGCAGCCTTTTCCGCCGTCATTGCTAAATCTTCCACATATTTGCGTTTGTCGGTTCTGATGCTCCTCTTCACTTGTTTGTTTACTTCTGTGTATTCAGCTTGTGCCTTGGCTTTTTCTGCTCTTGTTCGACTGGTATTGATTGCTGCTTTCTTGTTCCTCCTTTCTTGAATCTTATCCAGTGTATCAACAGTGATTTATTCCTTGTGATGGTGCTTCTTGTGGCTAAGGACCTCATGGCATGTTGAAGTGATTGCCTCTTTGATCCCCTTCCAGTTGCTCTCCATAGTAGTTCCTCCTCCGTTGAGTAGATCATGAAAGGCCTGGAACTTGTTGCTGAGGACTATCTTGAATTTGTTGAGTTTGTTAGTATCCTGGAGAAAGGCCGTATTGAACTTTTGTGATACTGTCTGCCCCGTTGTCCAATGCTTCTTGAGTTTCAATTTCATCTTGGCGACCAGCAAGTGATGATCTGATGCTATATCAGCTCCTCTCTTGGTTCTCACGTCTTCCATCGTCCTCCTGAACTTTTTGTTGATGCAGATATGGTCGATTTGATTTTGTGTAGTGTGATCCGGTGAAGTCCATGTGATTTCGTGAATACGCTTATGTGGGAATATAGTACTGCCTATGACCAGTTTATTGAAGGCACATAGATTTGCAAATCTCTCACCACTTTTGTTCCTTTCTCCCAGTCCGTGTCGTCCCATGATGTCTTCATATCCAGTGTTGTTTATTCCAACCTTGGCATTTAAATCTCCCATCAGAATGGTCAGGTCCTTTGTCGGGCACTTCTCGACGATTGACTGCAGCCTATTGTAGAATTGATCTTTAGCGTCTTCATTGTGGTCGTTGATAGGCGCATAGCATTGGATGATGTTCATTGAAATGCCCTCTTTCTTTGTTTTGAACGAGGCTTTGATGATCCTTGGTCCGTGAGATTCCCATCCTATAAGTGCATTTTGCGCTTGTTTGGACAGCATCAATGCGACTCCTTGTGTATGTGGGGCATTTTCTTCTTCATGGCCGGAGTATAACAGAAGCTCTCCTGAAGTTAGTCGTTGTTGTCCAAATTGCGTCCAATGTGTGTCATTGATCCCAAGCACCTCTAGGTTGTATCTCCTCATTTCTCCAGCGATTTGGAAGACTCTCTCGGTGTCCCACATTGTACGAACCTTCCATGTACCTAAATAAATGGTTGCTCTGGTTGTCAGAAGGGGCCTTGGCCTCGTGACTTCCGAAGGAATTCGGCTTTTATCACGAGGCGTCATAGTTCTTCTAAATAAAGAACTTCTGAATCCCAGGGCAGAGTTTAAAAGGTTTGAATAATTTTTTCTGGTTAGCGTTTTTTAGTGAGTTAGTGTTCTACGGGATGGGGACGCTAACCCCATGCCGGACCGTCCTTAATCCGGTCTTGAGACCGGCAGTATTCCTCGGAGGGACTCCAGGCAGAGTTGAACCAGGAGCAAACAATATGGAAACTTTCGTATTTAAACAATGATTAAACGACCATTCAAAAACTGAAAATAACTGCTACAGGGATTGAAATAAAGTAATTATAATGATAAATACAATAAATGTTATAAGAATATGTAAACATTTTAAAATATTACACTGTAAACTTTCGTTATGACATACACGTAGAAATTGTTTACTGAATAATAATAAGTAGTATAAAACAATACACAAAAGGGTTGAAGGGAAGTGAATAAAGAAACGGAACGTAAAACACACTTGACAAGTGATTTACCGGCTAGAAATCAAATGGTTTATATGTTTTTGAATTCAATTGCGTACCAATTTGACGCGAACGTTCATCGATGCCACTGGTAGTCGTCTTTTTTTGTTTACTTATTTCTTTCTCTAAAATTTGATTATGCTCTACTGAAGTTCCAAATGTTCATTCTCGCGAAAAGGACCTATTATTGATCAATGGAATGTCATACAAATTGAGTTGAATAAAGGTTTGGATTGTTATTCACTATATATTGGTTAAATAACTTCATAATATTTTGATCTAGAAAACATTACGATCACTGAGCTAGACTGCTTGAAGATACAAGAAGCTTCAAATGTTTTATAGACATTCGTAGTTTTTCGTTTGATATGGTTATGCAGTATTAACTACTTTGATGAATAAACGTTTTGAATACTAGATTGGCTACAGAATTTTCAACCTTGTTTATAGGCTTGCTCAATAATTAAACGTTATATTTATCGATTATTTAGAAATCTACTCATAAATAAATCAGTATTTCATAATGTTTGATCTATTACTGTTACTCTGGTTACATTACATGAGTTAAATGAAATATGGTAACTAACTGGTAGAAGAAATATTTACCACACTGAATATGATTATATGTTTAAAAGCTGTAAATGGCAATAGGACAGTACATTTTATTCACTGGTATCATCTACATAATTTATATGATGACGAATTACATTCAAAAAGAAATACAAATTAATTTATTGCAGTAGATTATAAGCTTTGTATATTATTGTCACATGTGTGCTGTTTATAACAGCCTTTGAAGTTTTATTTGATTAGGAAGTGTTTTTGTCAGATCTTATTGTCAAGTAAAGAGAAGCTGTACAAATTTTGTAACTTATAGAGCATTATTTTCATGTTAATATTTAACTAACTCTCCAGTGATATGTCTCATTTCTCCGTATAAGGTACTTGATGACCATCTTAAGGTGATTATTTGACTCAGTAAGTCATGATTTCTCAGTAAAACTTCAAGGAACTATTCCTTGTACTAGTTATCAATATATGTTGGAAAGTAATTACTGATTTTCGATATCATTTCATTTGATTTATATTGAAAGTATCAGCTGAGAATTCAACATCTATTGATTTTTTGAGTAGTACATTTGTATATAGACTCAGACTTCCGATTTTCTTATTGTTTAAAGTCAGCAGAATATCACCATAAAGTCTTACTATAACACATAATAAATTTCCAGGATTACTTGTTTTTTAATGTGTCCAGCCGATGGCAGTTTATTATAACGAGTAGATAAACTAAAGAATTCTACTAAATACATAGCGATACATTTAATCTAAGTTTCTTACAGACTGATATAAACTGACGATTTATTCAGTTTGAAAAGAGCAAGAACAAAATGATAAAGGGAACTATGTGTATGAGATTTATTCAGTGGTTAAAAAGTAGCATTCAGCAGAGACAAATATCCTCTCATGATGATTTTCAGAGTATGCTACAAAGAATTTAATTAGTGTACCACCAGAATATTCAAGAGGATAAATGCCCCTTCAAATTGTACTTTACCAATAAATTTATGATATATTAAATTCACTGGACTAGAATTCATATTATTTCATAGCGTACTGAAGGTATTATAATTAAAATTTATATTTGTTAATGAACATTCTTTTATATAACTAAACTAGAAGCTTTATATTATCCTTACTGTGCAGTTAATTTGTAACTCTTTTACTCAACTCCAAATCGCATCTGAACAAAAATAAGTTGACATTTTTTAGTCTAACCAATTACTTTTTCTACCTTGCAGTTATAAATATTAACTTTGATTTGTGTTTTTCTTCTTTCCATCTGTTTTCTCTCCATAGTTTTATGTAGCTATTGTTAACAATCTGCTTACATTCATTCCATTGTTTTTAATCATTTATATATTTCGTAATTCACGTTTACGGGTCAGTCATGCAACGAAATTACGCCATGCTATTGAAGAACATTTAGATGAAAAACTATATATTGGAAAAGCTTCATTTATTTATAGTACTCAGTCAGCAATACAAGATACAAGCAAAAATGATGAGTAAGTTCGCTTATTGTTTTAGCTGTAAACTAATGGAGTAGCTAGTCTTTCTATCTGTGATACCTTGGACTGAGTCAACATATTTTGTCGCATACTTTTCAGCAATCGTCTGAGTCAATCTATAATCGCAACAGCCGAAGCTAGTGTCCAGACTAATGAATGGCTATAAAGTCTGATCAATTCAGTCAATACTGTTATGAGTATTTTCATTTTGTTCAGAAAATCAGAGTTTATATACTTCTGTTGGTCTTCAGTATAAAAGGATAAGACTCAGAAAACCCAATAAATCTCAGAAAATATAGACCCTCAGATGGATTAATCTAGTCACAGGTGCTTACTACAAAAGAAAACATTGGCATACATTTTTCATATAAATACATTTATCAGTATTAAAATGTTCTCGAAAACTCGATATGGACATTTCTATCCACATTTAAAACTGTAACTTCCGACTAACTACAGCACTATTATCATTATTGATAATATCTAAAAATATTAAAAGAAATATTTGTGACTCTGAATTACTAACACAATTGTCATATATCATGGAGCAAAAGAACTATGGATTGCTTCAGTTATTGAGCAACAGATCACAAACAATCTTGTGGATTAGTTAATAATGTCTAAATAACCCAGATTTTTTTAGGTGTTTGTAGTGTTGAGAAATGTAGTGTAACTTCATCTAGATACCGAGTTGATATCCAACACTATAAATAACTTGAACGGCATTTAACAGTAGTAACATTTTCATATGTACTTGGCTACACTGCTAGTCTTGCTATTCTTCAATGCATAATTCCATTTACTTGAAAGCTTTATTGACGTTCATGTTTCAGAGTAATGATTTTCATAGTTGCCCTGCTCTACCTATATAGTTATGAATATTGATTTTCTAGCTAGAAGGGTTTAGTTAATACGAAGTTGTAGTCCAAGGATCAACATCAACTGGAAAGAAAATAAAGTACTGTTATGACGTTATGTGAAACACGAGAATACTCAATCCATTAGAAAACAAAGTTTGACAGTGGTAGGAGATCTAGGTGTGAGAATGTAGACCAAACCCAGACGAGGGTTATCAGATTTGATGAGATAGGTCAGTGATTTAAAGTTTCCCGTCAGCTTAAAAAGTTTTTGAACAGGAATTATCTTAGAATCTAACTCATATATAAAATTCTACAAATCTGAGTTTGAAGGATGGCTACAATAACTGTTCAAAGTTTAGTTACCTCTGAATAATCTTTTGGTTGATGTTACTTCCAGCTAAAAACTGTCTACAAACATTTAAATGACCAAGCATAACAAATAAAGGCACATAAGGCGGTGGCACAAAATGCTCAGTTAGTAAAAACACCAGCTGAATTTCCTCTAACACAAGTTGATTTTCGTCTTCCTTTTATTTATTTCGATATAGCCGTGAGGCTCTGGCTGAAAATGCTGACGATACTGAAGGTAAAGAAAAAGGACGAACTTTGTTTTGTGGATGGCAAATGCGTATTTTCGCTTGGTTACTTCTTATCATATGTTTGGGTATAGCTGTCACTTTTACAACATTCTATGGTGTGATGTTTGGTGAAGCTACATGTAAAAAATGGCTGTCATCATTGTTTCTATCATTCTTTATAAGTGTACTTCTAGCTCAACCAATAAAGGTATACTTAGTTGCTTCCTTTTACACATAAGAATTTTTTTCGATCAATATTTATTGATTGTGTTTATTTGGTTTTAATTGTTATAAAATATCTCAGTAACTGAAAATATGTCATGTTGTAGAAGTATTTGTAAAGTAAACCTGATCTTTCATAAAACATTAGGGTTAAGGTGAAATATATCTCTGAATAAGTTAAGTGATATATACGTTACCTATATTAATTAATAAGAACTTCTGTCAAATGAATTGTAGTAATATGAACCTTGAGTAGTCACTTTTATTGACTGAGTCACATCAGATAACAAAGGATCAAGCAAAAATGGTAGTGATTGCATTAATATTGCAATCATCTTTCAATGCTGTCTGTGGTACCAAATAGTAAGGCTATTTGTAGACAATTAAAAAAGGGCACAATATACGTTGGATTTTCTCAAAACCAACTACTTTATCATAAGCCTCACTCTTCCTTATCATCAGTCACTAATGATTAGGGCGGCCTGCTTGAGCATCTGGGCTACCTGTTCCTGCCATCTAGATATTTCAACAAGTTATCTATTGTTGTTTGTTTTAATATATCATTATGTTTATTAATCGCATAACCTATTCTGCTGCGTTTCTGAAAAGTGTACAACCTTTCGTTGTCAAAGTTACAGAAAATTCAATAAGAGACAATATGGTTGCTGGCAATGTACAACGAAAAGAATGTACATTATTCAGTTGTTCATTCACTGAAGTGCTAACATCTAACTGGCGATTCCTCAATATTTATCGCCAGGACCGACCAAGAAGAAAGAAACGGAAACTTGTTGAAATACTTTGCGCTGAGAATTCTATATTGTACCAAAATTATAATATTGAATAAAGCTAATAATAATAATAATAATAATAATAATAAATACAAACGTCGGTGCAGCCAGTATTCAATTACTTATATTTATGTGCATCACACACTTTTGTCTTAATTTGATCCTTATGCGTGGTACCGATCGATAGTATTTTGTGGAAAATTTGGTGACTATAGAGATTGAGAGTAAAATAGTTATCTAAATATACTTTAAGATTCGCACACTATTCATCATCTAAAACCAGCTTAAGAATAGAATGATGATCATGATAATCATAATAATGTAAGCTATTTATCTTAATAAATAAGAATTACTTAGAGATACATTTGTTATTTCCTTCAAATTTTCCCCTAATTTCTACAGGTACTACTGCTAGCCGTGTTCTTTTCATTCATTTGTAAATCAACTGATCGAGTAGATCAAATAGAAATTTTTGAAGAAGAAGATCGAATAATCCAAACATTAGGAAAGCGGTATCAACTTCGAATGGATAGAGAATACTTAAATAATAACTACCGTATGTGAAAAAGCTTTTGTAATTGTAAATTCTTTGCTATGATTAAAGCCAATTTTGATTGACATGATACTTCTTCATAAATGTGCTTATCAGCTTAAGTTGTGAGCGTCATGTTAACTGACGAGTATTTTTAGTAAGCCATGCAGGCACTTAATGGATTGCAGAGAGAAAGATTCTTATCATTTTCAGCAGGTGCCGCAGTATGAAAAAAAACGATAGTAGACACCTTACTTGTGTTGGTGACTAAACCTATAAGATTATGATATACACATATATCCGCTGTATTATAAATTCCTAGTGATGTAAGCCACGTTCATCAGCTAAATGTAATTAGGAGAAAGAAACTTCACAGTATTTCAGATATAACAGTTAGCTGAGAACTTTGCCGTCAATGAAATATTGGAAAACTTCAATAACATCTGCTTCTGTAGAGATACTACACTTTGAAAGTAAATAAGTATTTGGAACATAACTTTTGTTTAACGGTACTTCACAATATATGTTTCTGTGATGATGAAATTAGTATTTCTGTCTGGAATATGGTTGTTTAGGGTAGAGATATTATTATTATTATTATTGTATTAGTAGTACTCTTCAGCAATTAAACATATTAATTTAGATTTTTTCATTGGTTGCTTACGAAATGCGAGTATAATTTTCTGTAAAGTGTAACTCAAATAATAACTTGAAAAGAAAGTGATTTTATCTCATTAAAATATTATTTTTTCTACATGACTAAACTTTTGTCTCATATTTAGTATCTGATGATTTTCGTCCACAACGTTTGGTAATCCTACCGCCGGATCCATCAGACTTGGCACGTGCTCGAGCTTATCGACTAAAACAAAGAAGAGCCAATGATATCATTCGTGAAGTTATACTTTACGTTTTCTTTCTCACATTGCTACTAATTGTCAGCTTAGATTTCCGTGATGCTAATGGATTTCTCTTGAAATCTAGTCTACAAAATTTGTTTTTTCCAAGTTCATTTCAAAGTGTAAGTACTTTCGAAATTGCTAGAGGCCTTTTCATATAAAAACGATTATTTTGTGACTTTGACTAGGTTTCCTAAACGGTTCTTTAAACTATTCAAGGCACTTATTTACTCCTGGCCGTAAACTATAAATATATATATATATATATATATATATATATATATATATATATATATATATATATATATATACTTGTTGAGTTCTACCTACCGCCGGATAAGTCAGACAACTAGCGAAATCTTTTAGGAAGGCTAGGGGGATAATTGTACGACACAATGATGCTTGACAAACTTCAGAATAAAGCATTTATTATTTAAAAGACGTTAAATGATAATAACAACTCCGGTATTTCAGATTAGTGTGGCAACTATTAGGTACCAGAAGGACAATAAGTTGAATTATTTATTGGGCTAGTCATCATGGTCTCGAGGAATCGGAAAACGATAAGCCACTTGTACAATAAAAAGTTCAGACATTATCATTTGATGTAGTCATTTATACTAAGCAACCATGTGAAAATGTGAAGTTATGGATCTAGTCTGATACCCGATTTATACTCAGTATCACCTAATGGTTTCCAAACAAACAAGCAAGTAGCTGTTCCTAGATTTTGAAGACAATACTGGTTTACTTACAACAAATATATTTAAATAAATACTATCTCTCCTACAATGATAATTATAATAAGAGATCAAGTTCTCTTTGACGACAACTTTCATCACAAATGAAATACAGTTACAGTTAAACGGTAAATCATGAAACATTGGATAGACGTTGATACCTTTTAGTTAACCCTGAGTATTGTAAAATATATATCATGAACTCTTATGTAAAAAAAATTAAAGGTTAAATAACAACCTCATTGGGAGACCTGAACAAAAAGCCCACACTTCAACAACGGCTAGATATTTTGACTCAATATATTTTCGTAAGGAGAATGGGGGCTATGATTTATCATCGGTAGTTGATAACAAATCGTCCACAGGATATTAGGAAGAAATACACTTCTGAAAATCGTTAATTTCCATTCAATTTATTTAGAGACCAATCAGCAAGTTATAGGTGTTTATAAAAATAGTTCACGTTTTAGGGATAGAACATATGAGTTTCCTAAAAACCAGGTGTAACTTTATTGACTTTGTCAGATTATTACCAAAACCTCAAATAAAAACTATATTTGTTAAGTGGCTAATTAACTAACTTAAATTTTGTTAAGGATCACACTGGTACTTTCCATATGTTGATATCCTCTCACAAATTAGAAGAAAGTCATAATAGTAGCAAAAAAGAAACTATATTTAGTTGTAAACAGTTGCTGTAAAGTGATAACGAACAATCAATTATTTTACGTTCTACCATGGACGAAATGATGTTGTCATTTATTTATTTACTCTGAGTCTACTATTATAAGTTGAATAGTCTTCAAATTCACAATTATTTCATGAACATCAAAAATTTACAATTTTCTAATCACTGTCTTAATGAGAAACAAAATTGTGCAACTTTGTAACTAACCAACTGATTTATCACTTGCTAAACTTTGATTTTATTGATTTACAAGTTTACGTTTAGAAAAGATTAAATGGACCAGTAAATTAGTCAGTAGTTAACCACAATAAAGGAATGATATAATGAATTATAGTTTATGATGATTATTAAGAAGAAGGTATAATCTAATCAAGAGCTAATTTATGGATGCTGATTACATAAAATTTAAACATGTCTTAAAAAGCTAATATTTTGAACAAGTTCTCTAGATTTTAATGGAATTTTGTTCTCTGAGCTGAATGATTTGGTCATGAAGTTGTCATCGTTCTTTTGAACAACATCATCAACACAAACTTCATGTAGAAGTTCTCCAGAGTTTGTATTCTAGTTTTATTTATTAATGTACAAGTAAACAATAGGAGTTTGTCACTGTTAAATCTAATTTAACAAGGACGTTAAGTATATTTTATTGAATAATCATCGAATTTTATAAATTCTGGTTTATCATAAAATAAGGTAATTGCTCTGTTCAGTTTTATATGCTCGATTACTTGACTGTAATATTGAGTAAATATAAAAACCTGCTTTAGGAATTGCTTGTATTACGACTTCAAGTCTATTCATTTATGGAACCAATATTATGTTACTGCATATTAATGATATATTCATATAATTGAAAATGTGCTTATATTGACCAATTTAAATTAAGAGTCTCGTGAATCTATATTTGATTATTGAAGAGATCAACTATAACACAGTGGAACTTTGGTTTCAAATGAAGTTTGATTAAGATGAAAACTTCAGGAGTATCATTTAAACTATTATATACTAGTACTTTTAAAATGTATATTTACAAATTAAATAGAGGTTTTAATTAGCACACACTTCATTTCGGAGGTAATATGTTTTTATTGACAGATGAATGATGTGGACGATTTCTATAAATGGGCCCAGAATGTTCTAATTCCTGGCTTGCGTGCAGATCGATGGTATAATCGTAATCCACCTTTGTTCCAACGTGGTTTCTTGCAAGACAGAACAGATCGAATAATTGGTTATGGAATGATGAGACAACTACGAACTAAAAAAGGTATTTATGCATGCATACACTCCTCCATCTTACACAGGAATTACTTATTATTTTCAATGGTCGAGATCATGAGTCAATTGAAGCTAGACCACCATGGAAAACCTGGAAGCACTGGACAGCCGTTCCGTCCTATTGTGGGACTCCTCAGCAGTGCGCATCCGCGATCCCGCAACACGAAGTTCGAACCCGTGACCTATTGGTCTCACGCGCGAACGCTTAACCTATAGACCACTGAGCCAGCATCCTTGATCTCAGCCACTGAAATTACTATAATATCCACAAAAATCCTTCTGATATTTATTATTTGTTGAAAGTATCTACTGATTAATGTATTCATGTTTATGTAAATAATAATATTCGTAACTCAATACTCTGTAACATCGTGTTAGCATATTTTCGACTTGACACTCGTTAATTGAATAGCATCGAATAGCATTGAACTTTAGTCTATTATGTCAAAACAGTTAAACAAATGGTTCATATCTATAACAGAACTGAATCAGTGCTAATGTTTCTTAATGTATCACTGGATAAGGTAAGTATGTCTCCCAGAAACATTTACCTTCACAAGTTTGCACACACTCTACTGAGGAATGGGGGCATACACAGAACTTAGATTCAAACTCAGTGATCATTTATTGTTATGTATCGTCACTCAACTAGATGCCTCGGTTTCATTATTTGGTCAAGATTCAATGGTCAGTATCACAGGTAACATTATATCAGTAGTAACCATTCAGTAAATGACTTATAGATAAACTAACTCTCAAGGTTATGTAACGAGTCTTCGATGGTTGTCATGCTCCATGTTGTGTAAACTTATTGTTCGAAGGAATGATTAGGTCTGGAATCAAAACTTTTGTGAGGAGATAATGAGGAATCCCTACTTGCAAATTAATTATGTGTAAATTTAAAAATTTGTCAATGACATTTAGCTATATTTTGAAACTACTGAAGTAGCAAAATTACAAAAATCCAGATCCCGACAGACGAACAATATTTCTTCTATGATGATTGATGTTTTAATCATGTATCTTGGATAGGCTGACGAAACCTTGAGTATTTTATTTACAACAAGCTATTTAGTTGGTGCTACTGGGAAAAATTTTTCTCAAAAGCAATCGTGAATCCTCTCTAAAGCTTAGTAGGCACTTTTAAGAGTGTGGTGAACCTTTTGTCAGCATCTAATTCTAGAAATTTATCAATAACCCATATATTTCTTTATGCGCCCTTTTTTCTTTTGAGCAGATTCATGTAACGTACACGAACTCGCAAAACATCTATTCAAACATTGCTACGGAAGTTATGATATGTTCAACGAAGATAAAGAAGCGTATGGGATATCATGGGCTAAGTTTGAAGGAAATGATAAGTCGAATAACTCTGCACCAGAATTTGTTTATCAAAATTCATCACAGTTGAAAGGTTATCCATATCTGGGACAGATTACATGGTATTCTGGAGGTGGATATGTTCATTTACTAAGAGGTTCAAAGGATGAAATGTTAGACAGGATGAGTTTTTTAAATCAAACTCACTGGATCGAATTCTCTACACGTGCAATAATAGTACAATTTACAGTGTATAATCCTAATATCAATCTGTTTGCCATTATAACTGCTCTAATTGAAATGCCTGGTATCGGTGCAATGATACCATCGTATCGTATCGAAACGGCTAATTTGTTTGGAGTACTGGGCTCTAAGACTAAGCTTGCGCAAATTACATCTCAGGTAGGGAATATTTTAAATGCTTATTTGGACTCAATTTTCTCTGACGCATATTTTTGCATTAAGGATTACAAAGATTTACAAAAAGATCTTAAGCTTCCAATTTGTTTCTTTGGTGTTCTTTTCGTAGGTTCTTAAGCAGGTCCTAGTCTATGTTAGATTATTTCATAGAAAATTGACGTTAGCATTTAACGTATTGGTTGTGAATTCCAGGCAAAATCCGCTTATCTGTAGAACAAGTTGTTGGGATTAACTTTAAAGAAAAAGAATTCAGACAACTAGAACCACTTGAATATAATTGAAACATAGCTGTAGAGTAGATTCAACCCTGTTTATGCTTATCTGAAATTTCTATTTCCAAAGGCGTTATTGTTTGCAGAGTTAAATCCATGTTTTAACGGTTTTCAGCAAACCTATATATACATTTGAGACATTTACTGATTGTAAACGTGACTATTATCTAGTCAACTGGTTTTCTATAGAACAAACAAACTGTCAGTAAAGTTTTAATTCATTTTTGTATTGGTTGTCTGAATCTTTCCATTGATGTTTAGGTCTAAAATTGATCAATCTCTTATTGGTATATGTGCATCCTGTGAGGATTGCCTCGATATTTCAAAATCTCTGTATTTAGGACTTCATTTAATTGATGTCTGGTAGTATATGTACATCTAAATATATTATTAATTCTAGCTATGAACTTAACTTTATCTCTGAATATCTAGTAAGATACCTCACAAAAAAAGTTGATTTAATTAAAAAGGAACACGTTCTACATGTATGGTGGTAGCTAGAGATGGTTCACAGGAAATCATGTACCTTGGTTTCATGCCATTTAACGCTCGTAGGCATGGTGTGCCTGGAATCTTGAGAGGAATTATACTACCTGATGGACTCGATTTCCTTTTACCCGGCTACCACTGAGTTATTCCGGCCGCTACTGATTTTCTCTAAAACAGATGTATTTACAATCGATTGATCAATGAGCAGGGGCTAGCGACTGAGTAAAAGCCTAAAACGTAGTGTTATGGGAAACCTCATACAGTTTTGGCGCACAACTGGTATCTGCGTAAACTAGTCTTTTATGCAATCAAGTCAGTTAAACTTATCAACAATAAGATTAAATACCAGTTATTTTATATTTTGACTTGGAAATTAAAAAGAAAATATACTGTTATATCACTGCTAAATCACCTAAAATATAAGGACGGTATTGAGTAATCTTTCATGCAAGTGGGTAACACTGGTACACCACAAATGTTTTTGGAGACGTACTTAAAAAACTACGTAGCGGTTGGAATCTAGGTTACTTTTATAAGCATTTTCCATTTATTTAACAAGGTAAAATTGCCAAAAAACATTTCTAGTGTCAGAATCACAAAATAATGTTTTAAAAGTCTCGATTCTTTCACTGTTGATTGCCGATATTACAGGAGGGATGTACAACAAAACCATACGTGATCCTTGCAATTAATTTCAATCCAATAACATGGTTAAAATTTCACAGTATTGCTTTTATAGTCGTTATTCTTAAATTTATCCTTGACATATATATGTTAAAGTCTTCCTATGATAACCACTTTGTCAGGCTTCCTCTACCTAATCTTGGTTCTCTAATCCCATGTAATTTAATGGGATAACTTCTGTGCATTTAGGTGAATTTAGGTTTGAAATGACTTAGGTAGGCACACAACCAATAAATTGTACTTCAGTGAATCGTGCAACACGACTATCATGTATATAAATTTACAAGTCTTTAGCTAAGTTACGTAGATACCAGTTAAATCACACAGTTCACACAGATCAACCGATATGGAAAATACTTCATCAGTTATGATCTTTAGATCAGTTCATTTATTGTTGTTAATGAGTTTAGGTCTCTTTAATTTATTAATGATATTATTATTGATATCATCTATAAATATGTACAAGCCATGGACAGCACATATATTTGAACTTCAGGAGTGATATAAAAATCACTTTCATGGATATAAACATAAGTAAATAAGAATTTTCGTAATCCTCACACAGAATTTATTATGATCAATTAATAGACAAGTAAACAAAGAGAAATAAACTCTGAAAATTATTTACTCAGTCACCTTGTTTTCTTTCTATTTTTTTGTTCCTCTAATAGGCACTATTTGCATTCATACTATTTTGTTATTTAATCAAAGAACTACGCAGCATGTTCAGACAACGGTTGAAATATTTCACGAAATTTTGGAATTTTGTTGAGTTATTCATTATTTGCGGCTCTATAGCTGCTATCGCTGCATATATTTACATGATACTGAGTACAAAGTCATCTATTGAAGAGTTTTCACGTACACATGGTAATATTTATATGAATTTTCAACTATTGGCATATTGGAATGAAAATCTTACGTATTTAACTGCTATAATTTGCTTCTTTGCCATGTTAAAACTTGTATACTTATTTCGTTTTAATCAAAGAGTTGGTTTATTAGGGTCTGTGTTGAAATATGCAGCAACAGATTTAAAATATTTCTGCTTTATATTCTTGGTTGTCTTTTCAGCGTTTGTATTAGTCTTCTACTTACTTTACAATGATACACTAAGTGGTTTTAAGACAATTTTAAATGCTATAGAAACAAGTATGCAGATTATTCTGGGGAAATTCGATTTCACAAGTATGTATGAACGACAAATGGTGTTGGGTCCATTACTGTTTGCTGCTTTCTCTTTATGCGTTGTATTTGTAATGGTCAGTATGTTTATAGCTATACTCGATGAGAGTTTCCAACGTGTTCTTAAAGATTTAAGTTTGCAGTCAGATGATCATGAAATGACTCAGTTTATTGCAATCCAATTTATCCAATCTATTGGTCTAGATAGAACAACATGGGGTAAGAATTTTATCAAAAACGTCAATACACAACAACAAGAACCAATTTATGATCCAGAAAGTGAATCTTCAAAACATGTTGCTCAGCTGAAATCACTAATGAATGAATTCTTAGAGCATGTTCAACAAAACTTGATTACAGAAGAAAGAAAACCCGTGGATTCGAAGTGATTAGTTCCATCATTGCTGTCATGTCTGTTTGTAGTAAGAAAATAAATAAACCATGGTTATCATAGAAAAACTCTTCAAAATAACACTTTTCGAAAATTCTGCTTTTTCGATTATTTATTCAATAATAACATCAGTCTATATTAGCTATACTTTGCACTTCTATGTTATCCATTCTTTTTTTCACACCTTCGTGTAATACTAACCTCTTTTTACCATCGCAAACACTATGTTTAAAACAATAATAAGTATTGAAAAATGTCTTTTTTTAATTAATTGAAGAAAGAATGATTCTAGCTATATGTAAAACCAACAGGTTTAGTATAATTAAGAGCATAAAAATTCAATAAATTCCTTATTCTAATTTCCACTTTTATTTCTACTGTACTACTTATTTATAGATGTCTTTGGTCTTCAAGATGAAAGATAATGTGCCAGTTCAATACAGTATCATAGATTTTATGGGTTATGAAGTCATAAGTGATTGAAGAGTGTGCTAAATTGACATAGTAATTTTGCAAACTCATTAGTGTATATAGTCTATCTAATATATACATAAATTGAGCTCAGAAATGCTTTATTTTACAAACTTTATGGTACGAAACTCTTTTATCTTCCATTATACTACCAATTCGTGTTAATGAACTCCCCCAAACATCGTTTATACTATTTAAAGGATTCTTCTAAATACTCAGGATTCAGGATCTTTAGCTGCCTCATCGTTCCACAATTTTTGTATATAGTTTTCTCGGCTACAGTGTTCTGTTAGAATATTGTGTACAGATGACTATCTCAGTTCCAGATCATCAGCAATCATCTAGTTAGGGAAGTGGCTATTAAATAGCAAGGAACTGTACATGTTTCACTTTTTTCATTATCACAGGAGTTCGAAGCCCTTCCTGTTCTACCTCCTTGTAGTCTTCACAAGTCACACCAAAAACACCTGAGCAATTTAGAAAAGCAGTTTTCGTTAACGCATTATCCTCGTGATCAACCGCATATATTTTGGTAATTTCATGTAACTTTAGTCGTATTTATAAATACCAACCTTAGTAGCTCAGTTCTCTTATTTGATGATCTAATAATGTAGAGTAAATCAAAGGAATCCCACAATTGTCCCCATTGAATATACTACATTCTACATCCTTTTCACATAAACAGACTTCCATTCGTTTGGTTTTATTCTGCGTATAAATAAGCATGACTTTTCAAGATAGAGAGTACTTATAGAACAAAATGTCTGAATATCATTTTCATGTTACTATTGTTATCTTTCATGAGAAATCTCATCAGCAAATCATCATGAGGTTTACTTACAAGAGGTTAGCAAATTTAAAGTACTGAGCAATGTTAGACTATGTTATATGAATAGATAATCATGAATTGCATGTATACACCGAGTTTACGAGTAGTACAAGACTAGTTTCAACAAGCATCTGACCGCAATCAATATTTTACAAACTAGTTAATTACAACTCATTGGTAGTTAAGTGTGCTTACTGGTGAATATTTTAGTACGTACACTTAACCGTTATTACATTAAAGTACTATCGGAATGACCCAAAAAAATCGAACGAAATTAGTGATAATTTCCGTTCTCGGAACCTGAAACTAACTGCCTTTTAAAGGAAATATTTAAGCGAACTTAACTAGTGATAGTTTCCATAGTCCCTCAATTCGGTGAGATAATTGAAAAAGGGTTAGGTTCATTAGCAACTAGTCTACAAGTAGCGAAATAATGTAGTGAACTAAACGTAAACAAAATGTTTAGTCAAGCGTCTTGTCAAATGTGATCAAATTTTTATTTTAGCGAATCCTACTGTGTTTCAACTACATAGTAATATCCTGGATATTTAGAGGTTTATCAATAAGCTAAAAAGTATTTGTGAATTAAAAACAGATCCGAAATTTCTACTTTAAGCATTTAACTGAATTTTGGTGACAGTAGTATACATACATGATCATTCTGCTACTGGAAATCACTTACGTACATCCATGTAAACAACGTTCTGATCAGTAACTAAAAGACTGTTCACAGTTCAACAACTTTTATACTCTAAACTGAAAGGCAGAAGAGAATCCACAACATTTTGTACAACTGTTCATACAACTTTCATACAAATAACTTATAGTTTTTTTAAAATGATAAATGTCCCCGTAACTAGGAGGACGTTAAATGATAAATAATATGGGTAGCGATAAAAGAAATCAGATATTCAACAAAGTGAGGGTTGTTCACCAATAGCAATTATGAGAGTTCAGTGTCTATCCTAACTGAAGAAATACTTTGATCATTGATTATTAACTCCTGGCAATTTGATAGTAGGGAGAAGACGAAGTAAAAGAGTGTATGTACCAATTCTTTACATTACATTAGACCTTGAAATGTTAAGTTACCTGTATCATCGTTGTGAACATGTCATGCTTGTCCATTGTATTTAAGACATTTCGCTTAATTTTGTAAATAATTTCCATGCTCAGTTCGTATGGAGTTGTGTGGCTGGGTCCAACCAGGCAATTAACGATGTGTTGAATTGTTGGTGATTTTAAATCCTTTCTTTGTTAGTCATAAAGGATAATTCTAGAAAATCTGCTTGGAAACGTTTTTTGTACTGCTGATATAACGAGCTTCATGAGCGCAAACCTGATGACCACCTTTATTTTATTTACAAATCAATTTGCGTGTAGATTGCCCATTGCAGTCCGACTGGAAGGGTCATATATTGGAAGATAAATATAGTCGGTTTTTGTCAGGAGCTATTGTGTTATTAAATTAAACATTCATGAACAACCTTCTTTGGTTCTGTAGAATACCGTTCATTACCTAAGTTACCAGTTTTAGATTTTCCTAGATTAATTCTGTATAATAACCATTTTAAAGTGGTATGTTTCAAAGATTCAACAGTGCTTCATGAACTGTATCGTCTGTATGAACTGGCTATGTTATTAGTTATTAATCCGTTATTATTATTTTCTTTCTTCGCCTTTAGGTTGATGTTCGACTAGCATACTCTTCGCTGAGAAATTCAGCTCCTTAGTTGACTCCTTTTAAGTAATACTGCGTACAAAACTTCTTGTCAAACAAAAAAATGCATACTTGTCGTGCATTGTAAAATTTCAATTTCTATTCTTTGACTTTTTAATTCATCACAAACAAAACCGACTGTTTCTATCAACCGCGTATTCGTGAATAGTAGTTATAAATTGATTTGTATCGTGGATTTTTTATTTATTTCTGAATTCCTTATTCGGTCAAGTAGTTCGGAATTCCTTTGGATGATATTATTTTATGAACATTAATTGACTCATGATCTCAACTATTAAAATTACTATAATATCCACAAAGTTGTCTGCGCAAAATACTTCGGATCCGTTGGACGGACACTATTAGCAACAACCTACTGTGGGAAAGAACAAACCAGATCCCAGCGGAGGAAGAAATCAGGAAGAAGCACTGGAAGTGGATAGGACACACATTGAGGAAAGCATCAAACTGTGTCACAAGACAAGCCCTCACATGGAATCCTCAAGGCCAAGGGAGGAAAGGAAGACCAAAGAACACATTACGCCGGGAAATGGAGATGGACATGAGAAAAATGAACAAGAATTGGATGGAACTCGAAAGGAAGGCTCAGGACAGAGTGGGTTGGAAAATGCTGGTCGGTGGCCTATGCTCCATTAGGACTAACAGGCGTAAGTAAGTAAGTAAGTAAGTATGTAATATCCACAAAACCCATTCTGATACTAATCAACATGTGCTCACTATTGACTGGCTTCAAGAGGTATTTCCTGGAGTTCTGGTGAGAAGCAGTGACCTGTAGAGTTCAACTAGGTCTGTTGTGAGATAGTAGCTTAGTGAAGACAATGGTGAATGTGTCGCTAAATTTCGTGGATTGGTTGAAGTTAGACATTAACACCGTTGGATTCCAGCTCAGCGGTCTAGAGGTTAAGCGTTCGTGCGCGAGACTAATAGGTCATGGGTTTGAGTCCCACGAGGCGGATTCGTGGATGAGCACTTCTGAGGAGTCCCACAGTAGGACAAAAAGGCCGTCCAGTGCTTCCAGGTTTTTCATGGTGGTCTAGCTTCAATTGACTCATGATCTCAACTACTGACATTACTATATTATCTACAAAACCCCTTCTGATACTAAATTTTCAGTTAAAATTATAGAAAAAACAGCAGTTGGATAGAGTTGAATGAAGTAGAAAATCAACTCTTCTTCCGACTGTTAATTCTCGCGGTATCAGTCCTTAGTGTGTATTTCGTGAATGTAATCAAATACCTTGACACTAACATTGTTAAAATACCGGTGGCATATAGATTACTTTGAAATAATTTTAACTAGTAGCGTTTTATCGGTAAATAACTATCGCGTAGATTACTCAACAAGAATGCCTGACATTCAGCCGACTTGACTCTTTTAGAAGTTTAACCAATAGATTCATTGAAAATATAACAGATCGATCAATTCACCGCCTATATTTTGTTATGGCTGATTCGAATAAATGCAGGACGACAGAGACTGTAGTTCAAGACTGATTATACACCGGAAATGAATTAGAAATTATACCCGATTTTTATGTGCTTATCTATACTGATCAGCAGTCATATTTGAATAAATCGAACTGAGTAACACGATACTAATTAATTGTGTATGAACACAAATTATAGAAGCACATGTAGTATGGCATTATATCTATATGGATAAATCAATATATAGTCTGATCCGAAACCTCGTCACCCAGTTTCACATTCTCGGACATTACTACTAACCCAACGAACAATCAGTAGTCAGAAACCTAAATCCAGGGCTTCCCATCACCGATTGATTGAGTCGTTTCTCTTAGCTGTAAATTAAAGTGTTGTATATCGTTCTTGAATACCAACATTACTCAGTGATCATTATTTATAGCTGCAACACAATCGAAACTGATACTGTAGGTTGATTTTTTTTTAAAAACACTACAAACGTTCGAATATACCACTGAATCACACAAAGACAAAGCTAATAAACTGAACTAGTCGGGAACAATAATTAAATTATCTACGTTACAGATGACCTAATGGTTAATAAATTGCTACTGACTGATTAAAATCATGTATGTACCTCCTGTAGCTCTTCTAGAGTTACTGCTGGTCACAAGCCCGGGTAAAGGAAGAAGATTGGGCATGGGGTCGGCAACCCCATCCCGTAGAAAAAAAATCTTGCCAAAACACGCCAACAAGATTAAACAAATAAAAAAATTTAAACTCTACCCTGAGAGTTGAAGGAAGAATGATGACGCCTCAAGAAGAAAGCCGAGATTCTTCAGCATTCAAGTGGCCGAAGTCACTTCCAACAACCAGAGCAACAATTTTTATAGGTACATGGAACGTCCGGACAATATGGGAGACCGGGAAGACCAGTCAAACAGCAACGGAAATGAGGAGATATAACTTGACAGTACTCGGAATCAACGAAACCCGTTGGACTCAAACTGAACAGCAAAGGCTAGATACGGGAGAGCTGCTGCTGTATCGTGGTCACAAAAAATAAAATACTCCACACACTAAAGAATTTGCTCTGATGCTATCCAAAGAAGCAAGTAATACACTTACAGGATGGGAATCTCACCGATCGAGGATCATCAAAGCATCTTTCGAAACAAAGAAGGAGGGGATTACAATGAATGTTATCCAATGTTATGCACCCACCAATAGTAGCAACGACGACAATAAAGATCAGTTCTATGAAAGGCTGCAATCAATCATAGCGAAGTGCCCAAGAAACGATCTCACCATCCTGATAGGAGGCCTCAACGTGAAAGCTAAATTGAAAACATCGGATATGAAGATATCATGGGACAACATGAACTGACTAGGAGAAAGGAACGAAAATGAGGAGAGATTTGCAAATCTATGTGCATTCAACAAATTGATTATAAGCAGCACAATATTCCCACACAAACGCATACACAAAGCTACATGGGTCTCATCAGACTAAACCATGGAGAACCACATAGATCATATTTGCATCAATAAAAAAATTCAGAATTACAATGAAAGACATGAGAAACAGGAGAGTAACTGACATAGCTTCAGATCACCACCTAGTTGTGGCCAACTTAAAACTGAAGCTAAAGAAAAACTGGACAAATGGACAAACAGCATTACAAAGGTTCAACTCAGCCATCCTACGAGATACCGACAAATTCAACGAATTCAAGATAACTCTCAACAACAGGTTACAAACCTTACATGATCCACTGAAAGAAGAAGAAGCTACCATGGAGGACAACTGCAAAGGGATAAAAGAAGCACTTACAGCAACGTGTCAGGAGGTGCTGGGCCGCAAGAAGCATTATCACAACGAAGTGATCTCTATCGAAACCGTGCACAAAATTCAAGAGAGGAACAACAAGAAGACAGCAATTAACAACAGCCGAACAAAAACAGAGAATCTCAAGGCACAAGTTGAATACACTGAAGCGAACAAGAAAGTGAAGCGGAGCGTTAGAGCCGACAAGCAGGAATACGTGGAAGAGATAGCAAAGACAGTGGAAAAAGCTGAAACAGAAGGAAATGCGAAACACCTATATGACACAACGAAGAAACTTGCACGGAAATATTGTAAAGCAGAGTGACCAGTCAAGAGTGAAGAAGACACATCAATCGCTGAGATGCAAGAACAGCGTAACAAGTGGATAGACAACTTTGAAGAACTCTTGAATAGGTCAACCCCACTGAACCCAGCGAAAATCGAGGCACCACACACAAAAACAATTTTCTTTATATGTCACTCCATCAACAACCGAAGAAATCAGTATGGCCATAGGACAAATGAAGAATGGCAAAGCAGTTGGACCTGACAATATACCAGCTGAAGATCTGAAGTCAGACATAGAAGTAATTGCAAGCATACTCCACGTTCTATTCAGGAAGGTTTGAGAGGAAGAACAAGTGACACCAACAGACTGGAGAGAAGGACAACTCATTAAGATACCAGAGAAAGGAGATCTGAACAAATGTGAAGACCACATAGGCGTCACACTACTGTTAGTACCAGGAAAAGTATTCAACAGTGTTTCTGAACCGCAAGCATCGATCGTGCACAGACCAAATCGCGACACTATGGATCATTGTTGGGCAACCAAATGAATGGAACGCGTCACTATATATCAACATCTCTGACTATGAAAAAACGTTTGACAATGAGGATAGGAGAAGCTTATGAACGTTCTTCGACACTATGGTATACATGAGAAGATTGTCAACATCATACGGTATTCGTACCGTCGACTGCATTGCAAAGTTGTGCATGGAGGACAGCTGACAGATGCATTGCAAGTGAGAACCGGATTCAGACAAGATTGCTTACTCTCCACCTTCCTCTTTCCTTTGGTGGTTGACTGAATTATGAAGACCTCCACATCTGAGGGAAAACACGGAGTGCAATGGACATCTTACATGCGGCTAGACGATTTGGACTTTGTAGATGACCTGGCCCTTCTATCCCATACACACCAACAAATGCAGACGAAGACAACTAGTGTAGCAGCAGCCTCTGCATCAGTAGGCCTCAACATACACAAAAGAAAAGCAAGACCCTCAAATACAATACAGAGAGCACCCACCCAAACACACTTGATGGAGGAACTACGGAAGATGTGATACGTTTCACATACCTGGGAAGCATCATCGATGAACATGGAGGATCAGAAGTAGATGTATGGGCGAAGTTTGGAAAAGCAATGGCCGCATTTCTACAATTGAGGAACATATGGAACTAAAAACAACTGTCAATCAATGTCAAGGTGAGAATCTTCAGTACGGACGACAAGACAGTCCTACTATACGGAGCTAAAACGTGGAGAACTACTACAATTATCGACAAAAAAGTTCAAGTGTTTATAAACAGCTCACGCAAGATACTCAATATCAGTTGGCCGGATACCATCGGTAACAGCCTAATGTTGAATAGGAAAAACCAAGTTCTAACTGAAGAGGAAATTAGCAAAAGACGTTAGAAGTGGATAGGACATACATTACAGAACCACCAAACTGCGTCGCGAGATAAGCCCTAATTTGGAATCCTCAAGAGGAAAGGAAAAGAGGAAGGCCGAAGAACACACCGCCCCAAGGATCGGAAGCAGACACGAAAAGGATGAACAGCAACTGGAAAGGAATACCAAGGACAGGGTTGGATGGAGAATGTTGGTGCGCGGCCTATTCTCTCCGACGAAAGGTAAAAGACGTAAGGAAGTAAATATGTAATGATAATAAAGTCAATAGGAAATTCACAATTCTGTGGAGATTATTGACGCTTTTAATATGTTATTAAATTGACTGATCGCATTTTATTTTATTGCAACAGTTCCAATCTCGCTATGTTGAAAGGTATTTCAGTTTGTAGAAGGGGGAATGTATATGAACTTTGCATTAAAAGATTCGTATATCACTTGATGAATGTTTTATTATTATCATTATTACTAATATTATTATTATTATTTTCATGACCTCATAGGTTCTACGAAAACAAGATTTTTATTAGATTCACTTTGTTTCTCATGAAATAAAATCGATTTTCGAGTGTAAAACATAGTCTATTTATTCTATACCTGGTTTTGATTTACGAAATAGAATGATTGAAGTTGTTTTATGATATCTAGAAAACATGACCTTTTTTAATACTTGAAATTTAAGAACAAATTCACCTACAATATCATTAATTTCATGTATTACCTTTTGACATTAATATCAGTGATATTTTAACTAGGTAAATCTGTTCTCTTTTTATGTAAAACAATATGTAATCAGAACTCTGTTTTATTGCCGGTTTTCTCTTATGTTGATCTAAGTGAAGCTAGTATCATTAAGTTTAGTATTAGTATAAATATATATATCTGGGTGTGGTGTGTGTGCGAGAGGGAGAGAATAATGGCATGGTTCATCAATCAAGCATTTCATCGATGAGATCGAATAATTAATCATCTCCAAATTTATGAAACAACAATTCAAAGGAAATGTATCTCTAATGACGCACTTGCTATGAAATTCATACTAAATACAAAAATCAAACTTCCGAAAATACTGAGAAATATTTCCACTCAAATGTCTTTCACGATGCACAAGTTACTGTACTAAGTATGTCGATATATAAATGGACTATATAGTCTCAATTCAAGAAGAACCGGATTGCCTGTAATATTGAATAACCTAATGGATTTTACCTGATAATCGATTAGAACTAAATGTCAGAAATTTAAAGATCCTATTTTCTAGCTTTCAAAGAATCGTTAATAATGAGATGGCTCAGGTGAATGTACTCCAAATCAAATGAACATCTCTTAACTTTCAGTGAAATTTAGGAAGGAAGACAATTTTTGATAAAAATGACTTATGTATTAGTTAGTGATTCTGATGATAAAGTGGCTGGAACAACAACGAACAAACTAAGAGTAACCTATCACATATACGTAATAAGTGACAATGAAATAGGTATTTAATAAATTAGTGAAAAACTACTTTCATAAAAGTTTAAAATTAATGGTGAAGACATGATGATCCCCACTTATAAATAATTTATATAACAGAGAAAATTAACGATGACACAACGAGATGAAAAAAACAAATATTCCAAAAAGCTAACAATTACATGAGGCAAAAGCCTGTATCTAGGCTTCCTCTATGCCTTCGATATCAGAATCGTTCTCGTCATCGACTGTTGCATCTTGATATTGTTGATATTCACTCACCAAATCATTCATATTTGATTCAGCCTCAGTAAATTCCATCTCATCCATCCCTTCACTTGTATACCAATGTAAAAACGCTTTACGACGGAACATGGCACTGAACTGTTCACAAATTCGTTTGAATAACACTTGCATTGCCGTACTATTACCAATAAAAGTCACCGACATCTTCAAACCACGAGGAGGAATGTCACATACTGCCGTCTTCACATTATTCGGAATCCACTCGACAAAATAACTCGAATTCTTATTCTGCACATTCAACATCTGCTCATCCACCTCCTTCATAGACATACGACCACGGAAGATCGCCGCCACTGTCAAGTAACGACCATGACGAGGATCACAGGCAGCCATCATATTCTTTGCATCGAACATTTGTTGTGTCAGTTCAGGCACAGTTAATGAGCGATACTGTTGACTGCCACGACTTGTCAGTGGAGCGAATCCTGGCATGAAGAAATGCAGTCGAGGGAACGGGACCATATTCACTGCCAGTTTCCGCAGGTCAGCATTCAGTTGTCCAGGGAATCTGAGACAGGTGGTCACGCCAGACATGGTTGCACTGACCAAGTGATTGAGATCTCCATAAGTGGGGTTGGTTAACTTCAGTGTTCTGAAACAGATGTCATAGAGTGCTTCGTTGTCGATGCAGAACGTTTCATCAGTGTTCTCAACAAGTTGATGTACAGACAGTGTAGCATTGTATGGCTCGACAACAGTGTCGGACACCTGGATAAAATACAGATGCAAATTTCGGGTTTCATATTCTGTATCATTTATTGATAGAAAGAAAACGAGAACCGTTTCAATATTTTAGTTCCAAAAGTATTCACACGAATCAATGTTGTAACTCAAAGTTATTAAAAGGTAAAAATTACTTAATGAGAAGTCATATCTCGGTGACAACACTTTTCAGTTTGTAAGGATGTTTAAAATTTGTTTTAAAAATCAACAGTTAGTGACTGAGATTTATTCCAATAACCACGATATTTTACACCATTACTCCAATTATCATATCTTCTTTTTCTTCCCATTTCTGTTGTGATGAGCAGTGGATTTAAATAGCGATGTACACTATGTCTGACGTTATACAGGAATAGGAAAACAGTATTAATCATACCTTACGGGTTCAGTAAGGTACAGAATAACATTCCGCATACTCTCATATTCTCAGAATCATAAAGTAAAATCAATCAAAATATGATAATTATCAAACCTTAATTCTGAGATCAAGGATGTTTATTAAAAAGTAATCATAAAATAACAGGAAATCGGAATTTATTAATATTCATTGTAAAGAACTCTTTAATTTCATATATATTTATTAATGTAGATTAGTTAATTTCAATGGAGTTAAATGCTGCTTTTGTACTCTAAGACTTAACAGCTTTGTCTTTCTATACTTACATTCAGTCTTGAAAATTTAATAGTTAAATTACATATACGATGATCTACGTACATATGAACAATAAGTCTCTCAGAAGAATTATTTTGTGTGTGCTGTCACACGAATATCTGCTCATGAATAAAAAAATTATCACAACAATGATCTAGTTTTCATTCCTTAACAATTCCACACTATCTTTCAAAAAACTAAGTTCATTATTTATGCTTCTCTACATCATCTTTTGAATTAATATGAGAATTATAAGTCAACCAAAGTCTCAATAGTAATCGAGGTAGTAACAATGGTTGCATATTTATTAGATAGTAATAGTGCTAACAGTCTAAATGTGTTCTCTTATTAAGGATTAGGGATGAACACAAAGAAAACTAGATTTAAGGATGCCATTATACGTAAAATAAATCAAGGCGTAGATTTTGCGCGTTCATCCTCTTTAATTCATAATCATATTTAATCATGTGATGTTATAAAATTTAAAAAAACTTTTGATGTTCAGTAAATAATGTCCTTATCTGGTATTAGAAAACATAACCAGATTACAACCGGTTTTGTACTCTCAAACTTCAAAATATCAGTCCGGTCCTTACATAAGCTTATCTGGAACACCAGATTGCCGGAATGCTGTGATGAGTATAGAAGGGCCTTCTTAATTTGCGAGAATGCCTAGAAAATTTCCTGTAGTCGATCATTCAAGTAAGTTTCGTACCCATAGTTCAGAAATCAACTTAATTAAAGCTAGTGAAGTATTGAGGTAAACCCCATTCTGTCTTTTGTGGTCTTAAAAACACGTTAATATTTCCGATTTTGATACATGGGGTGTGATTTGAAGATTTGTGAAAGAACCTTTGACTTGATAATAAAATTCCAGGAGTCAGTGCTCAGTACTCATTAATACACTGACATTTTATCATCTACGTATGCCGTATTCTGATCATTAAGCTTATTTTAAAAAAACAATCAAATGGATATGAGCTATTTTCTATCCTTCGTGGATGTATCAGAACTAATAAATATTAGAAGTATATTTTGGGGAATGTAGATATATTTCTTTATACTTTCCTTGCATTTAGATTTCTCAAGAGATAAAATGTTGCCGACGTAAATACTGAACAGAGTAACTTAGGAATTAAATTTGTATAAAACGTTTTGCCTCACCTTAGGAGATGGAACAACTGAAAATGTGTTCATTATTCGATCAGGATACTCTTCACGAATTTTCGAAATCAACAATGTTCCCAAACCTGAACCAGTTCCACCACCAAGTGAATGAGTCAATTGAAAACCTTGAAGAGAATCCGTGTTCTCTGCCTCCTTACGCATCACATCTAACACTGAGTCCACAAGTTCGGCACCTTCAGTATAATGACCTTTAGCCCAGTTGTTTCCTGCACCACTTTGTCCAAATACAAAGTTGTCTGGACGAAATAATTTTCCGAATGGACCTGTACGAACACTATCCATTGTCCCTGGTTCCAGGTCTACTAATATTGCACGCGGAACATATTTTTGAGAAGATGATTCATTGTAGTACACTGTAATTCGTTCCAGCTGTAAATTAGATTCACCTGTATAATTTCCCGTAGGATCGATTCCATGTTCATCAGAAATCACTTCCCAAAACTAGAAAAGTATGCAATTAGGATACTCGACTATTAAAATTGATAATATAAATATTCGAGGTTTTCAGTACACTTTATCGTTAATTTACTAAGAACTGTTTCAAATCAATAAATTCAGTGAAGTAGTTGGATAAAAGATGAATACTTATAAAATTAACTCAATAATAATAGTGAAGAAAAGGGGTTCATGTTTCAGGGTGAGAGAAAGCTAGTTTCTCTAAACTTGTAGCTGAATTCTGATGATGAATTTCTAAAAGCTAGAGATAGAGGTACATTTTTCCTGTCAACTGTTTGTACTCACTTAAAAATCACACCATATTTACTAAAAACGTGTTGTGCATGTTCTCATCATTGGTTGAAACTATCAGCAAATGGCACGATAGTCCATCGGGAATTCAGGTTGTTATTTTGGATTTTAACTCTATCTGATTAGAAGTATTTTGAGAAATCACTTTGCCGCTGTAAGTGGAGAGATTGCATGTAAAATTATGCATGAACCATCCAAAACTTCATAAAAAGTTTACTTGTTTGGGCTAGGGAAACAACTTATTAGTTTGTCATTTCTTATATTCAGAAAGCCAAATCGCAAATTCTGTGTCCTTCAGACACTCAAACACCTTATTTATGTATTAAACTGAACAAAATGATTATTTCTATGATATTCATGTTGAGTGAAGCACTCTTCTGTTCCAACCTCATCAACCACTCTCTTTTAACGAGTTTAATTTATTACAAAATTAATGATGCTACTATTCTTGTTAGTAATAGTTGAATTGAGTTTAAGTGTTCTCTATTTTTAATTCAAGAGCAGGTTTACACTGATTTCATTTATTTTCGATCATGAGGTGGAGGAAGATGGTTTTTGATTTCATTAGTTGAACAGTTACTTCCAATTGAAATCCTTGAATAAATGGGTTGAACCGAGGGACACCAAACTCTTACTCAAGTACTTTGAATTCTCTTGAATTTGGATGGGCTTCAGACTCAAGACCTTGAGACTTAATGAGGACCCCACAACTGGGTTGGAGTCTGTTGACCAACTTGTTACAGCTCAAAGCTCTTATAAAAACTGTATTCAAAGTAGGCAGTTACCACTACGAATGTATACCGTCTCATAGGCTTATTGACTGCCTTATCTCAGGTAAAATATTACTTGATTTGAAAAATCTAACAAATGAAGTTTGATGATCATGAAATACAATTATTTGTAGTACAAATCCATGCTTTATTGTGAACATACGATTAAGGTGTAAAGAAGCGATTCAGTCACTTTGCATTTCATTCACATTAACTTCAACATCTGGGTAGGATTACAAGTCATGATACAACAAATGTAATGTGGTATAGTACTTAACGTCATTCGTGATTACGGGTTTACATTATTTTTTTCTATGCTTCTGGTCAAGTGAAATAAATGATTCACTAATTGTATCAAAAGCAGTTAACCTGGTGAAAACTAATATCTCAAAGCTATATCACTCTTCATCTAAATCAAAAGAAATACAAACAATTACGTGCAACGTGAATTATTAGAAATTATATAAAGTCATATTTTAACACTTAAACTATGCAATTGTTTCATTTGTCAAACGCTTTTCAAATGTATTTTTAATGTCGAAAAGTTAAAGTCATTTGGCTCTATTTACACTGGCTTAGTGCAACGTGTAGTACTTTCAAATACTACTCACTAATATGAGTAGTTGAAAACCACCCCTAGCATTTTCCAACAATTATTATTTGGATCAAGGTCATTTTAAACATTTAACGATCAGTTCACTGTAAAAATTAGGTGAATGACATCAGCGATAACAGTTTCTTGATTCCAGAAGTAAAACAGTGAAACGTTTGTAGTTGAGTTGTGTTGAGAATTCAAAAACATGGATCAAAACAGTTATGAATTAGGTTATTATTATTTACTGTTTGTTTTTTAGAATAATAACCATGTTTTGTTACACAAACCCAGACCTACTGTAGCCTACGGGTTTCACTGATTCCTGGCAAATTTTAAACCCTACTTTGTTCCTTTTAATTAGCGAGTTCAATCTCACCTCCTTCCGGAAGAATTGAATTTCGTTCGATACATGTGTTGCAAACATATCAAAATCTCTGTGTACATGAACGCTTTATTTAACCATAATTATATGTCACGAGAAAATTCGTTTACCTAATACAAAAATGATAGTAAATGTACTCGGAGAAAGTAGAATATGTGCTAGTTGATTGTGTCATACAAAAGTATCCACTCAACAATGAGAATTTTCTCATTTGAACAATCCTTTTATTGTTTTTAACTACGTATATCTGTTTACAAATAATACAGCAAGGCAGAAGTCACAACTTTCCGCCCCATTACTAAAAAGATATTTAGATACTGTACAAAAATTGTCATTTTTTAGAAATAATGAAGCGTTATTTGATAATTTATGATAGGAAAAAAAAATTAAGAATATGATTAACAGTGTTCAATATTTTTGCTGAGATGAGAAAATAGTGAAGTAGAGTTTTCCAGTAAATCTTTTTGAAGTTATCACTAAAATTCATATGGAACAATCGACGTTTCAATAAGCACATTGTTATCTTCTAAGCTATTATGTGATAGCGAAACAAGAACAAGACATTTTGAAATAGATACTGATTAATTCAAGAGACTTCTTAAAAGTTGCATTTAAGTACTATCTCGAGTTACCATCGTAAAGACCTCAAAATGAAGCAGATCTAAAGTATCTCATTGTATGTGAATTGTAATAGAAACAAACTAAATAGCTTCAGCTCATGTTTACTAGGTATTAATTTGTTTGATAATAGATAAGCTAATAATATCTAAAGTGATAAAGTCAAGAGTTATTTAGTTTACAGAACAGTAAAATTTATCCCAAATACATTCTGATCAACTCATGCATAAAAAGGAACTAGTGTTGTATCATTGAATTTTCGTGTGCTATCAAATTAGAGTTTTATAACATTCGAATATAAGCACTGCACAGATTTTGCTTTCCGTGAAATGAAGAAATGTTGTTAGGGACTCTGAAGACACGTTTATCCTTCGTCAGTTCATCTGAAATGTCATTCTAAAAGACTGTAAATTCTACTTATTGTTTTTCAGGATCAACTTCTCTAACTTGACAGTTAAATTTGGCAAGTTAAGAAAAACAATATAAAGACTAAGAATACATCTCCCTGTTGAAGTGGTCTTAATATACTGGTCAAACCGGATTGTCATGTTGAATCATTTCGATGAGCACTCAAGACTAAAGAATAACAACACTTAAAATAGACCAACAGATTTGTTTAAACTATACAGAAAAAGTGACATGAAGAGTTTAACATGTAAAGGAGACAATTTGTTAAAAACAGAAACTTATATATGATATTCTACATGATAAGACAGTTATTTAAATTAAAACTATGTACTCACTTTTGACCCGATTTGATTACCACATTGTCCAACTTGTATATGTACTATTTCACGCATCTTTAATAGAACAATTTCAGTTTGTTGAGATAAAAATTTACATATGGGTTTCATCACTTAAATAGTTTGATTTCACTTCCTCTTCATTAATAATTGGTTACTAGATTTTTTTTAATATGTAAAAAATTAATTATTGGTTACTGAAAACAAAAGAAAACATCAACACTTTGAAAGGGTATCATCCAATTTACTTTAAAGATAATGTTTTCATTGTCACAGTTACACATGCTCACATGAGTAGATACTTTCATAAAGTAACGAACGACAATGCAAAATGCATTGGTATACTTTAAAAAGTTGGAAGGATGGTCATCCTTGTTTATTTATAAAACTTTCATTTCATTCTAATAAGAAACATCTGTTCAGATGTCTTGGTTGATTTCATGCACACCCACAAATTTGTACACGTACTATATGCCTATTTAATAAAAATATAACGAGATTCTTATTAGATTTCCGATAATTAGGCCAAACAAAATTTTCACTCCTAATTTTTCTCAGTACCCCAGATACCTTATGTTCAAGTATCCTTATTGTAGTTTGTACAGGTTAAAGAAAAAGGGTGAAAAACATAATAGGACAAAGGTGACCATGGTTACCTGTTAGTATAACCTTGTCCTGTAAGAAGTAATTTTGGCGAAAGGAAAATAAGATTTGAGTAATTAATGTTGACCAAATTTTATAATAGTACATTCTGACTTACCTATCCTCTACTTTTTTTCTCTACTTATTGGAAAAGGTCTCCATGAATAAATTTTGGTTCTAAAAATAAACTTCTAACCGCAGAAAAAAGTACATAAGTTATTTAATTGATATTATATAAAAGTTAGAATAAGAAAATCTTATAGATGATACCTTCAGCTTTCTGCCCAAACCCTAATGAATATGATGAAAAATGAATCCCTGTTTCTAATATGAATACTAATGACAGATTGTCTAAAAGTGACTGTATGACAGCATTATTAATAAGTTAATAAAAATAGTTAATTGTAATCCGTTAACGGAATGGAAATTTTGAGAGCACAAAAGAAACATTTATGAAAACAAATTATTCTAAATAAGACTACATGTAATATACTGTTAAGTTTAAACTGCCCTGTCATGAAACCGACTAAGAAATGCCTTAGTAATTTCGAGAAAATAATAATACATCGGCTAACTGGTAGCGGTTATATCATTACAATTTTCAGTAGACTTTCTAAACTTATTTATATTCTGGTTAATATATATATATGAGACGCGTATTTTTCTGTACAAAGAATCTGACCATACTGACATATTGAATTAAGCAGACTATAATATTATATCTACACAAGTTAAGTCACTGTTAATTTGCTAATACGATTCAACTCAATAAACTGAACTACCCGGATAGTTCAAAGCTTTTCAGCAAGCTTGATAAACAATGGTTGAATTAAATGATTTTTATCATTCATAGTAAGATGTTTATTCATTTCTTGATAGCCATATTTTTTAGAAATCATACATTTTTGGTTTCATGCGTTTTACATTTAAAAGAAAATTACTACTGAATATTTAGCAAAAGACAGAAGTATAGTTTCACACAATGAGTATCTTTTATGAAATTGAATAAGATAATATTAAGTGGCTCAAAAATATATAAATTCATGTTCATTTCACCGGTTCTCATCAGTTACTTATAACCATATTCGTACTGAAATTAAACCGAATATTAAGTCAGAAACACTAGTGACTGAAAAATTAATATGACAAGGGTTATCAAGACTAAGTATATGCGTGTACATGATCATTGATGATAAATATTTTTTTTAAATAAAGGAGGCAAGACAGTAATTACCGAAATTCGAAATCCAATAAGACAGATTGAGCAATCATTATCGAAATTTGACGAGTTTATATGAGTTTTAGGAATTGCTTGAGTGACGTGAGTAGCTATAAATTCCATATAATGATTAGTGCTTCTCATAAATTAGATACGAGCCATATAACTATCAGCGGGATGTTTTAATCTCTTGGAACTAAAATCATCAATAATGCACCCAAGATTATCCAGCCCAAATAATTAAATAACTTAAACCATTTTAAATGTGACTAGTCAAGTAGACGAACTGAGTTACACCATTCATGGCACACTACTCATTATATGAACCTCAAACAAAAGACTTAATTTTTAATCGTTTAGACTGAGGTCCAATCTGATTGATCAGTACTGCCAACTGATGAGACTTATAAATACCCACACGAGATAACGATAGATAGGCTAAAGCTTACAGGTGCCTGTTAATCTTTCAATTAGTTCTGTGATATTTGAATAAATAAGCTTTGAACTTAAGTGGCGATGAAAACGCAAATGAGTAAATGTTTTTTTATCAAACCTGAACAGAATAAATCAGTTTCACTATATCCCATCATCATGTACAATGTATGATTAACTCTCAGTCTAAATTATCATCTTTACATAAGTGGAGAAGAGTTGCATATAACTGAATTTGAAATCATCAACCTAAAAATTATAGGTCACTCAATCTTTTCTTCTCTCTACCTTTTCCACTCCTTGCGCTTCAATAAAACAACCAAACATTCAATAGAAAAAATACAAAATAAAACGATTGTTATCAAAATCTCAATTCACTTTATTGTTTTCACTCTATCTGAATAAGGTCTTACAACTATATATATATATAACTTTAATAATGTGTTGTCATGGCTTTGAATAAAGAAAATGCAAATAATAGGGTAGCATGAGCATTACTGGTAAAGTAGTTAATAATTAAACTTAAGAAACATTGTTTTCTTTTCTAACCCAATACCTCAGTTGTTTTTCTTCTTGCTGACTTAGTTAAATATTGTAGCAGGAATTACTTCGATGCCTTAATTATTCTGATTAGAGGGATCTCATTAACCATCTGACTCTTAGTATCCTAATACAGCCTGTAAATACTGTAAGAAGGTTACAGTTGCACGATTAATAGTAGTTGTCTTGAGTTGCATTTGTCATTAGAACTGTTTTCAATAGTTCTGTGGCTGACATTTTATTTTGAGAGAGTTAAATATTGTATTCAACACAGATTAGATGTAAATATTGTTGAGTTCAGTGAAATAACTGCTCAGTGATCGATAATTTCCATTTACTATCCAGTTAAACTTGTGTATTGATCTGCATTGAGATATACCAATGATTTCGATTACATTGCCCTATTTTACTTAGTGAAGAAACTGATTCAATAATTATTAGGATAACTTATAATAAAAAACGAATCGATAGAATTTTAACAAGGTGTACCTAGATATCGCTTCTATTTGTATCATTTTCTCATGTTTAGTAAATAAACCAGTAGGTTCTGGGTTCGAATCCCGTGGGGTGCGGGATCGCGGATGCGCACTGCTGAGGAGTCCCATACTAGGACGAAACGGCCGTCCAGTGCTTCCAGGTTTTCCATGGTGGTCTAGCTTCAATCGACTCATGATTTCAATCAGTGAAATTTCTAAAATCTCCAGAAAACCCCTTCTGATAATTGATAATCGTCAAAAAGTATCTGTATTATGATAATCTTTTACTGGTCATCCATCTACCAGCACATTAAGCTCTTCATCTTCGGATTATATACTAAAGTCAAAACCAAAAATTAATTTTCATACTTGATAGTGGCTTTCAATCATTCGGGAAATCGAAGAAACAGATAATTAAACCATGAGAGTACTTGGTAGATGTGTCGATTTGTCCCGGAACTTCTCCCTTATAGTTATTCCTAAGATCGAAATTCGGACTTGCACCTTCCGCCGACAGTACATTGCCTCGTGAATTCTATGACAAGGAGTTTTAATCATATTCATGTCATTATGTATCCCAAATTATTATCCCACCTAATCAAGAAATCATGATTTCTTAGTTGATTTATACATTCATTTCAACTCCCAATTTCCATAATGTCAATTAATGAGTAATGAACAATAAAGTTACATGGGATATTAATAAAATATGTTAATCTATGAATCTGAGTCAACTAATCTATGAACAGTGCTGACCAAGTTGTAAATACAGACTAAGCTGTAAATACCGTTTACTAAAGATTAGTTTAACAACTAAAGGTTGAATTATCAGTCACTTAATTTGGTTGGATTAGTTAAGATTTCAAGGCAGATCGACTGAACCTATTTGTAAAGAAATATAATAGCGAGAACATAAAACTATTCATTGCTGTTTGCTTCGCAATAATTATTTAGTCAAATTATCAAAGTTTGAGGACTTTTAGTGAAAATAAAAATAAATGCCAATAGCACTGTGTTAAGGTCACTTGACCAGTTATTTTTTCTACAAGTAAGCCATACGAAAATGTTCTCAAATTTAGTGAATTAATAATCTCGAGAATAGTTGGAATTGAGCTAACCGTACAAATCAAATTTTTAATCGTTAAATGTACGGCAGCACTAAATGAACAGTTTACTCTGACTGATACAAATGTGCAACAGATTTTGATTACCACTTAACTGCTTTAAGACAAAGATACCAGTGGAATATTTTAGAGAGATATTGGGTGAACATCAATAAGGATCAACCGAGTGGTTTCTAACAATAACCTTGGTCATGTAAAACTAAAGTATGACTAATCATCCAGTTATCAGTATAGGGGTTGTAGAGGTTATTAAGTCTTTGATTGATATCATGAACCGATTGATGTTACACCACCATGGAAAACCCGGAAGCACTGGACGGCCATTTCGTCCTACTGTGGGGCTCCTCAGCAGTGGGCATCCACGATCCCGCTGGCGGGACTCGAACCCAGGGCCTTCTGTCTCGCACATGAACGCTTAACCTACTGGGCCACTGAGCCGCCATCCTATGGTGTTAATGTCTAACCTCAACCAATCCATACTTAACTAGTTGTCAAGACCCATAATCAAGGCTGTAATATTTTCAAATTTGTTCCAAAGTTCTACCATTTCATTTAAATTATGTACTACCATATTAAAATGAAACGGATATACGACTTAAGGTATTTATTGACATTTATAACAAA